GTCAAAGCGCGTGAGGTACAAGGCCCATCTGGCCTGACGTCGGTTCAGCTTCTGCATCTTGGTGAAGTGCTCGAGGTTCTTGTGGTCCGTATAGATCTCGACCTGATGTGGGGATCCTTCAAGGTAGTGACGCCAATTCTCTAGGGCGCGGATGATTGTGAGGAGCTCCTTGTCGTGGGTGTCGTAGTTCCGCTTGGGAGGTGATAGTGCATGTGAGAGGTAAGCCACCGGGTGCCAGTCCCCATCGTCCCCAACCTGGGAGAGGACAGCGCCTATGGCAAAGTCGGAAGCGTCGCACTCTACCCAAAATGGCTGGTCAGCGCGGGGCATCAGGAGGACAGGGGAGGACGTAAAGGCCTGCTTCATGCAATTGAACGCTTCTTCCTGTTCGGGACCCCAATCCCAAGGCACTGTCTTCTTTGTAAGGTCGAAGAGTGGACGCGCGATAGACGAGAAGTCAGCAATGAAGCGGCGGTAGAAGTTGGCGAAACCAATGAAGGACTGAATTTACTTGACGTTGCGGGGTGTAGGCCACTCCATAACGCCCGCAACCTTGACGGGGTCCATCGACATCTGGTTGTGTGATACCACCAGTCCCAGGAACTCGACGCTGTCACGCTCGAACTGACACTTCTCGGGCTTGAGGTAAAGGTCGTGATCTTGGAGCCGTTTTAGAACTCTGTTGACAACGTCGCGATGCTGTGTTAGCTCCTTCGTATGAACCAGGATGTCGTCCATGTAGATACTGATGACGCCTTCATTGATCATGTCCCTAAAAATCTCATTCATCATGGTGTGGAACGTGGCTGGCGAGTTGGTCAAGCCAAAGAACATCACCAAGGGCTCAAATAGTCCACGGTTTGTCTTGAACGCCGCCTTCCATTCGTCGCCCTCCTCAATGCGGATGTTGCACTACCCGTAGTCTATGGGTTGCAACACCTAGCCACCAGTGGGGGGGTGGGGTTGCAGCCCCCGTCAAAGGTTGCAACCCACCCTGCCAGACCTGAAATTAAAAAAAAAATTCATGAGCAAAAGAACAACACCGGTCGGGATTGAACCCTCAACTCCGTCACCTCTTCCTCCATTTCTTAACCACTAGACTACACTGCTCTGTAAGGACTTGTAGTGCACACGTACATACCCCCCACCCAGCCCATCTACACAACATGTTAATCTCGAAACGCAGACTTATCCAATTTTTGCCATTTTTTTCGTTTTCGCCTTTTTGCTTTATTCTCAATTCGCTCAACCCCTAACCCTACCGACTTTCCCGCAGGCACGGATCCCCCCTCATCATCGCATTAGAATTCCTGTTGACTTCTGCAATTGTGTAAGCCGCCGCATGCGCCGTCGCACCCCGCGCCGCCGTCCAATATACCACAACTCAATTGTATAACCCGCCTCTTATGTTTTTGTATCTACGTCAATCCCTACGACTCTAACCGTGTCCGCCGCCCGCGTACGTTCCCCGCCGGCGTACGTTCCCCGCATTCCCCGCCCGCGTACGTTCCAACAACTCCCGCGCCAACTACTCCTCGTCCGACAAAGGCTCGAGGGACGGAACGTCGCTGTCATCCCCAGTCTCACCCTCTCCCGAGTACCCATCCCCAGTACAGATATGGCTAAATAAGATAAATGAGCATATGCACTTGTTCAAGCAGAATATCCAGTGAACGTATGGGGGACATTCCTTCCCACCGCGCGCGGCGTCAAGAGCGGCCTGGTGCGCTGCCTTCAGCTGACCCTTCTCCTGCTCCCAGGCCTCTATATCCGTCGGCGTCATCTGGCCAGACATGCCCTTCCGCTTGAGCTTGAAGGCCTCGTCCTTGAGGGACGCGTCGAGACCGAGAGCTTGCGACTCCGCGGCCATCGCCAGCCATAAGTCCTCGTGGCGTTTAAGGTCTGTACGATAGATTAATGACTGTCTGTATATATTTATATCAACGAGCGACTTACTTTCTGCAGCCCAACGGCATCCCTCGCACGCGAGGACACCAGACGCCGGATACCCGCCAGCGCGCTTGTTTTTCAGGGCGTTAGCCACAAAGCGCGAGCAATCCTGCGATCGTCAGCGCTAAGTCGAGGACACGGTGAATATATACTGACCTCAACCTCATTGGCCTCGCCCGTACCGTCCTTTGGCGCCACTCCCATCTTCCGATTCACCGCCTGTATCCCATGCAACCCCACGTAGTCCATCGTCACGTACCTATGGCGAGAAACCTATGTAAGTCTTGGCTCGTCAGTCCGCTCTTGCCAGACACTCACCATTCGTCCCGACAGAGCGCTGGGCCATCCGACACCCACATGGCGTGAGCGTCTTTGTTGTCGTTCTGCGTGCGTTCGTTGCTCATGGTAGCGAGAAGAAAAACAAGCCAGGAGCCAGCTCGTTTCGGTCGCGCGCCATCCCGGAAGCAGACCTTCCGCCGTCGCCCTCTTTTCCACCGACCCCGCTCTCGGCACAGGCACTCCGTCTAATCGATCGTCCTCGCGCTCCTTCGCCCACCCACCATGGCTCCCTCTCCCACCATGTCCTCTCGTCTAGCCGCCAACCTGCCCACTATCTACGAACTCGAGCAACAGCGGCAAAGGGACTTCCCTATCACTAGCCGTCACGCTGATTACCTCGCGGGCCACTTGGAGGTGTGGGCGGCCTGCCGGGAAGTCTTCACCGGGCCTGACTCCGTTCGCCGTCTGCGCGAGGCATCCGGCCTACGATCCTCGGCGACACCCCGCGACGCCGATTGGACACACTATAGGCGCTTCCTTTACGACCCGTTCGGAACTGCCGGTGAAGCAGTAGCGCTCACCATGTATTATATGGCTGCCCAGAAGGGTGTCAGCGGCAAGCGGATGGACTTCCTCCGCGACAGCGTCGAATACTACTGGGAGTGCGTACCTTTATTCCCCTCCCTTAATAGCACGTCCATCTTAAATATTTCTCCTTCAGTTGGATGGCCGATGAACCCGGCGTTAAATGGCACCAAGACAAAGACGGTGATTGGGAGGGGAACCCGGCGACCGCGCCAGTAGTCTTCCGCGCCCTCAACCTCGCATACTGGCTCGAGGAGGAACGCACTCGCGTCCGCCGTGAGCGTGAGGAACGCGCTTGCGCTGAAGAACACGCTGCAGCCGCATCCTCCGAATCGTCCGACGCTACCCGTTCTTGACCCAACCAGCGGGGCGCTCGTAGGTGCTGGGTCACCATGCGGTGAGTCATACTTACCGACTACATATTCGTCGATGTACCTATCACTTACACGCCTCTCTCACAGTACCCAGAAAGTTGTGATGGCCTGTCCAGTATTATTCTATACCTACCGTCTGTAATACTGTCCCCGCCAATGCAAAGTTGTATTTTACAGTCGATGACAATCTGCGATACAATCTCTACAAGTTCTGTGTATCATGCTTCACCCCGCGCGTACGTGACCTCTCTCCCAAAACCTCGCCCATGCCCGTCAACGCCGGCTCTTTTTGCGGTGTCTCTGCTCCTCTTCGGCCGAGCTCGCCACCGGGGCGCGCTTAGGGCGACCTCTCTGAGTCGACGACGGGCCAGCAGCCGCTGCCGAGCCTGTCACCCGACCACGACGCCAACTCAGCATCGCCTTGAACGCGGAGGCCATGTCATCTGCGACCGTCTGCCAAAGAGCCAAATCGTTTGAACTCTGCGCCCAGTGCATCATGCTCCAAGCGAGGAGGAAGGCGCCTTTGTAACCCGACGGAGTTGACAGCGCACTCCAATCCATGCTCGCGGTGGGCGCACGCAGGTCCTTGACCGCCGTAACCACCCCACGCTCAGCGGGCTGCAATGAGACCCACCAAGCCGCCATCTTGGCGCCCCATCCTACGGGAAGTTTCGACGAGATGATACCGCCGCGAGCCTTCGTCATGTGCCCCACTTCTTTCGGGCGACTTTGTGAATCCAGTTGGCCGCCCGGGCCCGCATCCTAGCACAAAGCGAGACGGTGAACCTCAGCTGCAAGTGTATACGGTAGAATACGTACCCATCGTTCATCCTCGCGAAGCAGATTCTCCATGTTATCCACCAACTCCGCATGTGTCAGATGCATATTGACTGGAAGAATCCGCATGGCCTCCGCCAACAAAGTTCGCCTGGACGCCGTGCCGTCGTTCATGTTCTTGCTGACGTATACCTTCCAGGCGTTTTGTACCCCGTCCTTCGTCTCATCGCGCGTATGATCGCCAATCCAGCCCTATCGTATATGAGAGAGTGGACTCTGTTAGGCAGCGATGTACTCACGTTCATCCGCGCAGCGTCCGTTTCCCCTCCGCGTTTTATACGTGCATCGCCGCCAGCAACGCGCGGTTCGGACGGCTCCTCCTCCTCAGGCGAAGTGATTCTCAGCCTGCGCGCCTGGCGTGGCGCAGATATCACGGGGGGTGGCGAGAAGGAGTCTCGCGAGTGGTCGTTCTCTGCACCCGACGGGACTTCTACTGGTTGCGCGTTCTCAGTCCGCAGGGCAGCCGCACCCAACGCCTTAGCCCTCGAAACCACTCCGGCGGCCTCATCAGCCCTTGTTGCGTTAACGCTACGGCTAGCTTGACGCGTCCTGGAGCCCTTCCCTTTGTCGTTGGCGCTCCCCTTCGTAGTCTTTTGCCCATCTCCCTCGCTTCTCTCTTTCCCTTCCGACGCATCCGCTTTATCGCCTTCCTGGATCTTTCCGGCATCCTTCTTGCGACTCTGCCCGCTGCCCGCACGCTTGACGCCACCCAATAGATACGTCCTCGGCGTCTTCTTCTTCGTCGCCTTCTGCTGGCGATCTGAATACATGCCCGCCATCAGAGCCTCGATGTCAGCCTCGACGTCCTCGTCCTCCACGATCTGCCACATGTCTCCAGCATTGTCGCCGTTCACCAACGCGGCAGCGTCCGCGGCCTTGTCCATATTATTCAGGCGCTCGGAATACACCGATGTCGAGGTCTCTGGCGAAGACGCCCGCGTATCAGGTGTCATGTTACGCGCCCATTGGTCCTGACCCCCCATAGCAAAGTCGTCTTCGTCGAGCGTATTAGCGAAAGCGGCCGATAAGCCCGTATTGGCAGGTGGTGTCCTTGCTACGCCACCGGCCATGAACGTGAGATCTCCGTTGTTGTCTTCATCTTCGTAATCCTCCGCCAGAACCTGCGCGCTGAAATCTTCCATCTCCTCGTTGTCTTGCGCTCCGCTCTCCCGGCCCACCCGACCTCTCTGCGGCAACCGAAGCACCTCCTTTCCTTTGCCTTTCCACGCTTTCGAGCGCCCGCCGACATTCTGCAGAAGTTCTCTCTCGACGTCATCAACGTCCATGCCACCGGCCTCTGCGTTGCCATCGTAATGCACATCCAACTCCAGGTCCAGGTCCAGGCGCTCGTCTACGTCCATATCTATGCTCTTGCGCACCCGTGCCGGTTTCTTGCCGCTGTCTATGTTGCGCTGTACTTAGAGATTAGCTAAGTCAATCCAGTGTACGCTGTGCGGGTGACGAACCGTGTAAGAACTCGAACCAAGCGGCCCAGCTTTACCCTCGAGTCGCGAACCTTCCGCGCGGGGTTTTCCGGTGACATCCTATGGTGCATGAGTATGTGTCGGCCTCGTAGGACAAGAGACGGTGTACCGAGTGCTATTTGGACATTTCCTTTGGGTCCAACAGAGTCATGGGATTATCTGCGAGCTCCTGCGTGATAGAGTTGAGTTAGTCGCGCTGCAAGGCCGTCAACAGCGGACAATGACACGCACCTCCTTAAACTCCTGAGCGACCTCGAGATCATCGACCGCAGCGCCAGGCACCAGCGGCGTCACGTCCTTCGGAACGTTGCTGGTCAACATATCCCTGACGTATTGCGATAATGCGACCTTTGTGGCTTCCGTCGAATGCGCGGCGACGGCGTCCAGGGCGGGTGCGCCTTCCTTCACCTCGCCAGAAGCGAATAGACTGTGGACAACATTCAGTCCTTCACGATACGCTGGATAAGCAACGGGCAACTTACGAGCGCGCCTCCGGTTCACCTTTGTTCGGCTTTCCCGCGATGGTCATCGACATTGCAACGCCAAAGCGCACCGCCGCCCAGTTGAGTATCGCTTGGAAAAAAGTACCAGCCTCTGGAAGAGCCCTGGAACACCAGCATTAGTTCACGTAGGTTCGACGCCGCAAAATATTGGGCATACCACGCTCGAGACGTTGACACCATGTTCGGCGGAGCACCCCACAACTCCGCGTACCGATCACACTCTTCACGATGAAGACTGTAGCGCCTCTTTTCCACTTCTTCGACAATCTCACTGGTCTCGCGCGACCAGCGTAGAGACGCGAACACGTGTTCCTGCCCCCCTCGTACGTCCCCTAGGCGCGTGAGAAGGGTAGCGTTACCCTCGGCAGCGTCCACTTTCGCCTGCCACATCTTGTCGAAATTGTCAATGTAGCGCGCCTTGAAGAACTTCTGGTAGACATCGAGTGGCCTAGGGGGTTTGGGCGCGGGGGCGAACGCGTTCAAAACGCGATCAATGCGCTTTTGATCAAGACCCGCGGTCTGCCCGTTACTGATCCTAGCTTTGTGGCGCAAGTGTTTCATGTAGTTGCGTACACGCTGGTATGGAACCACGTCAATATAAGTTTGCACATTCGACCGTATCAGCTTCACTAACCTGGACCATGCTCGATATGACCGCGTCCCTTTTGATGGACTCGTCTTCAGGCAGCGGCGGCATTTCATTTGCAGCCGGTATATCCACCAGCTTCAGGTCCCAATACGCCTGGTTTGGCGTATCGTTCGAGAGGGGATTATCATGACCAAAGCAAAGAACGAGGCCGCGCGCGACGGTCAAGTACACGTCCTCTCTTTCAGCATTCACCGCCTGAGTCTGCACCACATCGTCGCTAACGTCGTCCAGGTACTGCGAGATGAACGTCGCGCGTTTCCCGCTGATTTTGAGCCTCGGGTCTGTCATCGGAGCGTATTCTCAGGCGAGTGAAGTAGCGCAGGTTGCCGGGCGAGATGGTGGTCGGTGAATGGTTAATACGAACACGAACGGGGCGAGATCCAGAGCAGGCACGGGGAAGAGAGAAAATTGGGGCGCGGTCAATTGCGGCGCGGTCAGTCGTAGGGGCGTCAGCGCAAGATAGACATCCGACAGGCGGGCCGATGGATAGGGTATGCCGGCTTGTACCTCATCGCCCTCGATCATTGGAGCCGCTGCATGGAACGAGCGTCGACGTTCCAAATGTTCAGTATCGCCACTTGAAGCAGAGAACAGTTCAAAGGGCCATATCAGATGTTGATACGCATTGAGCATTATGTTGAAGCCAGCCAATACATGTACAAGCGTGGGGCTGGACACCTCTCGCCCACAGGAACCACTCGGCACCGCACGGTTGATGATGGGCGGAAGCAAAATAGACTCGAAAAGGTCTAGCCTATCTATACCGGCATAGTTAGCACGGTTAAATATCATATGCGTTACCACACGTACCCAACTATGATAGTACTGATGACCAATGTGTTATACGCACACTGGCGGACATCATCGAGCTTAACGCGGAGTGAACCATTGTATCGCGTCACGCGCGTAGTCGTGCCACGTTCGTTGCAAATTTGCACGTTTGTATACATTGACGCGGTTATGTACACCCAATTCAGTATGCGTAGAAGACTTAGATCAGGCCAGCGCACCTCAGCTCTATCCAGCTAACAGTCGCGCGAGCGATCCGAAGCAAGTCGGCTAGGCAGCTGTGTGCGTGTCAACACTCAGCGTATACATGCGTACATGCTCATCTGGCTTACACCCATTCTCCCGAGAGAGTTCAATAACAGGGGTCCTTCCCAGAGTGAGACTGAGCGCGGAGAGCGGTGTACATGGTGGTTGCAAGCGTACTCCCAACGGCCAACACATCTCGCCCCATGTGTTGATGAAACGTATCACGCGTTCTCTATACCACTTGCTTCTTCGGGAGTGTGTCCCGCGACGATCAGGCATCCCACCGACGCCTCGAGTCTCTCTCCGTGTTTGCGGGGTATGCAGCACAATCCCTCCAGTTCAAGTTTCTCCAGACGCCCTCCCCCACTTCTGCGCGAACTCAGCATCTCCCAAACGGCACTCAAGACGTCGTCGACCTCGTCGTCACGCTCGCTGATATGACGCTGCTTCGCTTTCTCGAAGGTCGGTATCGGCCAACTGTTTACACACCTGACCACCAGATACACCAGCTTCGACAGTATGGTGGTGTCATGGAGCGCGGAAAGGAAGTTGAACCGATGGCTGTATTCAAGCCTCCCGTATTCGAGCCGAAGTTCGCGGACTTGATCGTACTCCTTCAGAACGTCGCGGAAGTACGCGTGGTCGGGCGTGGACCCGGATACTTCACCATACATGGATGTGAACGGATCCCCATTGACCCTCATCACACTAGGACGTAGCGCGCGTAGGCCGTAAAGCATACGGGCCACTCCGAATAGCATGAAATCTCCCCGGTCCCGCATCATCCCTCCATGCCACTCGTTCGTATGCGTTCCAGCCATTGAGAACTTGAGCTCGGAACTACCACCCCGTATTGTGGCTGACCCCATCTAGCAGTACAAAGCCGTCGATTGCAGTGAATGACAGGTTGATTAGGACCGTTAATAAAGGAAAATGACAGGTGATCACCAGGTAAATATAATATATGATTATTATAGTAGCACCAGGACAGGACCGACAGGTCTCCCCACTTCCTTCCATACCAATATGATCAGTGCAATATAGATGAGCCATTGCGATGGCCTAGCTGCACAGGAGCACCAACTCCAGGTGACTGATCAAAGAAATCACCCAGACGGAAATCAGCGCCAGGCGCGGGGCTTTATACAATAAACTCCTGGTGAAGTAAACACCTGCACCAGCAGTCAACCCCAGTGTCCTCTATTGTCCGTGTTTTTCTGAGATCTCAATCCGGGCTGCAGTTCAACTCTTGTTTTCGCGGCGCAGATAGTTTTATACTTGGGTGATCAGAAAAGTCGACCGCTGGGGTTTTTAGTCTTTTTTCCGTACTTCTGTTGATTCAGAATTACGGTGACAACTCCAGTAATACTTGTACTGATACTGTATGTTACACAAGCATTCGGATTATCGGCCGGCATTGTTGCAGAGTGTGGTGGTTTACTCTCAAGAATAGGCATAATGATTCGGACAGCGTGATACATACATATGTTGCTCTACAGCACTCAGGCATGGATCGTCTAAGAGAGGTTCTATACCCTGGTCTTTGATTCCCGAATGGCGCGACCTGAGATAGACGATGATCAGATATTACACATACTGATATATCAAAACTTACCACTTGCATCAACCAGATGCAAAGGATATGTGATCATACCTGCACCCTCTAGCCTTCGAAGAAAGTCCACACGCCGAGCGAAGGTGGGCTTGTGCTCCCTCTCTTGCGCCGGTGTTAGGACTGGTGGCACGGCGCCAGTACAAGCGCCGTTGGAACCTTTCTCCCAGAAACAGGGGAGGCACGCCTTTGCGCCTCGCCAATAACAATGCCGATCGAGCCTTTCGCATACGGCACATCTCACCTGGTAAGCGTGTTTAGTTGATAGGATGCCGTAGACTCAAAAGTGAACATAACCTGCCTGGAACTGCGGTGCGCGTCCATTCACGTCCACAAGACAGCCATGCATTGCCGGGTGCTCCCAGATTAGAGCGTCTGGGACAGACTGCCCCGATGGCCAGTGCAGGAGGTCGTCAACAAGCTGGTTCATGTCCCCGATGCGCCAACTGATCTCTCCCCGAAACTCGCGCGGGGCAAGCCAAGGCGACGCAATGCCCCTATGGGCTGTGACAGCTGCGTTCCCTACCATGGGCGGCGTAGCAGGTGCCGAGTTCTGTCCGACACTCCCGGCGCCGAAGGTGTTCGCTTCAGTTCCGGTGGGGGTGGGGGAGTCAGCGAAGAAGTCGAAGTTCGAGGTATGTTGACCGGCGGCCTGAGTAGGTTCTGTTTGGGACGAAGGTAGAAGAGTCCTGTCCTGTTGCTCCGCAAACAGTTGCAGAACACTGTTGTAGATGTCCTGCCGCTGCATCGCGCGGCCGTTAGTGATTATACCTGCCAATGATTGAGAGGTGCCATTAACTCAATCAAAAAAAGAGAACAATTCACCAGCTGCGAGCCACCATTGCAGCGGACCGAGCTTACGGTGCTCGAGCGCGGCCAGGGGGCCCAGTTTGGATTGCCCCGTCGCAACCCTGAGCATACTCGCGTCATCCAACATCTCACTGGGGTGCTTGTCAGGGGTGAACTTTTGTATAAGGTCGACGTCCGGGGAGGGAGTCTGCGCTATGAATAGAGCCTAGGCATACATTAATGTGGCAATGCTACCAAGACTAGGGTTCACGCACCTGCTCAACGAAGAACAGCTTCCATAAGATTCGGATTTGCGACGTGCTGACACCCAAAGATTCGACAGGAAGGGCGAGGAGAGTATCCAGTGCTGAGAGAAAGCGGAGCAACGAGGCTGCCGCCGAAGACTGAGGGTCTCCTTGGTAAAAGCCCTCGAGCTCCGTCTGGAGCAAAGGAGGGGTAACTAGATCGTGCATATCGCCCGGGCCGCAAGCCTTTCGAGCGAATTGGTCCATATCCATAATGGAAGTTGTGGATGAGACGGAATGCGGAATACCAGAGGCCATGGTGGTATGAAACGCGTTCAACAAAGGGAACGCAAGTCGAGAAATCCGTGACATGTGACAGTAACTCGGCACTTTAGACGCCGCTTGTGCCGCGAGACTGTACTGGCGCTTTTGTAGCCGCAGCTTGGAAGTTATCATACGTTAAACACCTCTGCGGACAACACACCCTTGGCGGAGTAAATGTACCGCCAGTGCTCATCAGACTCAGAGCCGCAGGTTCGAATCCACTGCCGCCATGGCGGTGTTTTGACAATGTCTGGCGATGACGTCTCTTTCTTTCCAGAAACCGATATACTTTCCCAGGCTTTGGGCTTTACACGATGCTCTCTGGCCTCCAGGGCAGTATGGAACCATCGTCTGACGTTTATAAGTTTTCAGAGCGGCCCTCTTCTACAAGAACTAGTAGGAATTCTGAAACCAAAGTCTATCGCAAACACAGGTGCAAGAATAAACAGTCATTCCCTCTACGATTTTTGCCAAGCGGTGGGTGTTTCAATGTCCATCATGAGCTCGGCGCTGCTTTTTCCCATGCCGCCCCGTAGAGCGGCGAGACGGCGATCGGGAGCGAGAGCGTCGGCGCGTGTGGGCCGGGCGGTCCGCTGTTGATGAGCTGGGCCCTGGGGTAGGAGCTCGATCGAAGGGGCGAGAGGAGGGAGCCTGCGCCACACCGCTCTGAGCACCCAAGCGAGAAGGTCCAGCCAAAGGTGAGGCCGGATTGGCATCTACGCATTGGCCAGTCGCACGAGATTTCTTCACACTACCAGCCCGGCGAAGATTCGCTGCTTCTAGCGGCAATGGCTCTTCGTGGTCGGCGACAAAGCTAACCGGTCGCAAATCCGCCACGAAAGCCCGCCTCCGTGTCACCTGCGACGCAGGACCGCCGGCATCGGGTTCCCCGGACGAAACTGCAGTGCCAGGTGGTGGGTGAGGTTCATCAGCGGCGTCTCCAGGCTGCAGCGAAGCCGCAGAACCTGGCGGAGGGTGGGATTGATCTGCGGCGCCTTCAGGCGCCGGGCTGTCAGTACTATCGCCCTCGTCAACCCCGTAAGTTACGTCGGGAGGTGGTGCAGCCGTGCGGTCAAGCAGGGACTGCGGAATGGTTAAATCTGCGCCTTGAACCGCGGCGGCGGCGCGCAGAAGGGGGCTGGTTGCCATCCTGGTGATGATGAATTGGAGGCGGTCCAACTCCAAGATCTCGCTTTCTGTAGCCGCGAGCAGAGATCGCCAAGTCTCTAAGTTATCAGCCTCTCGCTGGACGGCTACACTCAGCTGCACGCCGATAGCGGCTTGAAGCCCCGACATGTGTTCAGAGTAAGGCGGGGCTGGCACGGATGAATCCCTCAGGTGGCGCAAAAACTGATTGAAGTGCGCTGGCGGTGAAGATTTACTGATCCTGCCTGCTCTATCCGGAAAGCCACGCACCAGAGTTTTGTAGGCCAGCTCTCGAGAATGCTGGGGGAACAGGGACGTTGACGGGCAGCGGCAACGATGCGGTGTTGTGGTTCATGATGTAGGGCTGGCGGCGGGGAATATGCGGCGCTTGCGGTGGCGCTACATCCGGCGAGGGTGATGCGGCTACTGCATCCGGTTACTCTTGCTTAAGTAATAAGATCGAACACGAGACGAACCTGGGGATTCCATGTCAACATCGCCGTCGCCCTCAACGCTTTCGGCACCGCCATTCGAGCTGGATTCATCATCCTCGCTTCCTTGCGCAGGTTCTACCGGAGGGAACAATGGATCGTCCTCGCTTTCGCTGCCTTGCGGTGCGTCCGGCCCTTCCGACCACGAGTCCTCTTCAGCACCGCTTCCCATGTCCTCGTCTCCGCTACTACTCAGAACAATCACTTCGTGGGCGCTGTAACCCGCCATTCGAAAGGGAAAGGATCGAGCTGAGAACGACGAGATGGTTCAGGTATAAGGGGCGCGCCAGCCTCGTGTGCAGCCGCCTCTGAGTCTGATGGCCCGCCTCGGGAATTCGCGATGTTGATACGGCGACACGGCGACCTAAGCGCCGCATTCTGGCCCATACTTGATTGGCAATGTGAAGATGGGAACACAGTTCATCAAGACAGGGGCGAATGGCCAGATGATGCGTTATCGTTGGCGCCATCAAACGATCAGGGAACGAGCGCCCAGCGCGTATACTTAACCGGTCACGCCTCGAATCAACACCTTGCCTTCCTTCCCGCGTCACCCCTGCTTTCGTTCCCCATGCCCCCTCGCATTCCGTCCGCAACTTCCCAGGCAGCAGCTGAAAGAGCTCGCGCGGAAGGCCGCGCGCGCCAGATGTGCGGCGAAGGTCCTTTGACGGATGTCGTAGACGCCGGGCTTCTAAAGGCGGAGTTGTCTCAGTTCTACGCGAAGCAGGAGGGAACCGAAGGCCCACCGCCGGGTCGAATCGCTCTCAATCGCACGAAGCAGGCGCTAGACTATATTTTTGTGGCTGCGGAGGGTGCTCGACGCATCACCAAAGCCATAACGCGAGCGCTCTGGGCTCTTTTGTTGGTTGAGATGGTACGCAAGCATATTCTGTCAGCTCGAATCGCCATTTACCGTGAGCAGAAGTTTGCCAGGAAGCTTAACGACGTCTCCCTGGTCAGGCCTCTGGAAGCTTTCATCCAAACTATTACGAGCGGGGCGAGGCGAGATAATAGTTGGGATATCGGGAAGGTTCGCCACCTACTGGCAAGAGGATGGCCGGAGGACCAGCCTGTTCGCAAGCTGAAGTCGATTGAACTGGGCCCTCTGCACTGGTGGCGAGCTATCAGTGCGTGACTTGCTGATATTCAAAGCCTCGTGAAACCTTTCGCTCATACCATTCCATTGTTAGACGAGCTTGAACTCAAGAAGCCGTTCTTGCGCCAGAACATCTACGACGCCGCGCGCACGCTTGCCACTCCTTTGTCGCCTACGCGCCCTCCGAGAGCCCCGTCGACGTCGCGTTCCGCATCGGCGAGCAGTCGGCCCGCCCGCGAGGCAGCAGGCACAACAAACGCCGCTCTCCGAGGCACTGTCATACTGGACGACGACCAGGGAGGGACATACAACCCCGAGGACGCTGACAGACAGGACGCGCCGACGCAGGCGAGACCATGGCGCTTCGGCGACAATACGTCTGCGGAGTTTACCGTTCGTGTGTCTTCACCGGCGGCACGCACTGCGCCATCGCCGCCACCGCCGCAGCCGCCACCGCCGGGTTCGTCAAGGCGCGCGCAGCCGTCCCCTTGGCTCGCACCCAGTGGCTTCACCGCGGATCTCAAGTGGAATATTCTGGACTACAATGCTCATAAGGAGATGTTGAAGAAGTGGCCGCGCAACCAGCACGCGCCCGATAGTGCGGTTTGGGAGCACCCAAATTCACACGGCTTGAGGGTTCTCGCAGATGGCTTGCCGAAGACGTTCCAGGTACGCCCGCTCTTGCATTTGGACTTGGAGACCGCGGCCGTAAACTCACACTCTCACTCTCACCAGACGCCGTGCGCCAACTGTCGAAAACGATTCTATATTTGCATTCCTCACGGATCGAAGGCGTGTTTGCCCTGTTACTGGGAGAAGGGCAGCCAGGGCAAGTGCGAGGGTGGTGTGCCGCCTGAAGGTCCTGTCGAAAAGCCGGACTTCAAGATTCGCGTCGCTTTCTTCAAGGAGCTCGACGCAGCTGGCGTGTATCCCTTTCCCCATCACTACGTACACGAGGACGGTCAGCGCAGTCCCTCTTTCATCCACAATAACAACTGAATCCTCATTGCAGGCCGTGCTCGTCACGGACCCGGAGCAGGAGGGGTAGGTAAGCCGCCTGGGTATGCTCCCGCCCCGCGCTACAGCCCTCCTCGGCCCGAGGACGCCGCCACCAACGACATTCAAGACAGAGCACCCCCTGTTTCCACACCGACCGCTCCAGCTCAAGATGCTCCGTCTTCCCTTGGTGATCCTATATCGCACGCCCCTGATACTCAAGGACCTGCACCCCTTAGCGATCCTCCCCCCGCCGCTACGCCAGCAACTGTGCCAAAGGTTGCTGCCCAGGAGGCGCCCGAGGTCGCAAATGAAATGCAAGACGCTGCGCCGCAGGCTCCAGCGGGCGCGGGCATTGGCAACGGCTCTGACGGCAACGTCGTCCGCAAAGACGTCGCCATGACCGATGTTGAGAGCGCGCCCAAGGGCAAACGGAAGCGCCATCACGCGTCGACCGCGGGTGAGAATGAACTTCCACCCCCGCGATCTGACGCGGCGGCGGCTGAGGCTGCCCCTCCTCGCAAGCGCAAGCGCCGCGACGCCGCTCACGCAGTTCCCAAGGCCGTGTCTGGTGCAGACAACGCCGGAGCAACGAATTCTAGGCGGAGTGATGCGCTGCTCGCCGGCGCGGCGGCGTCTACGGAACGGCCTGTCTCTGCCATCCCATCCAACAGCGAAAATCTGCAGGAGACGGTGTACAACAGTTCGCAGTCACGCTCGCAATCGGCCACCGCGTCGCCCCCACTGTCGCCGGCCACTGCAGACGGCCTCAACGCATCCCTTCCTGGGCCCGTCGACAAAGCGAAGGGCAAAGTCCTCGACCGCTCTAGGCCTACTGGCCAACAGCAACGCAGCAGCCGCGCTGAGAGTCAGGTGCAGTTTCACAGCCCCGTCCCTAGGACGCGCTCGGTACCGCGAGAGAGCTCGCTCAGGTTTCCTTCCCACCCCTGGCCAGGTCAGCTTCTAGGCGCTGTATCCCTCCTCTTCGCTAACGCAACCTCCAGTCATTCCTGACCGCAACATGCAGGTCGATGGCGACAGGGCACGCGAGACGCCCGGCGGTGTTTCAGGGATCTCATATCCGCATGCCCCGCCGCCAATGTCGACGCTCAATCTCTCTGGGGATATCTTCCTCGCAAATCATGTGGAACGAGCCCTCTGCCACGAGTTACGGGACGTCAGCAATCATCATCGCGACTGGATTTTAGGGAGGTATGAGCCCGAGCACGTGTCACGGTTCGACCCTCGGTCCCACGATTATTCATTTTTTCTTTTCTTTTCCCTTCGATTATCCGGCAACGGCCGGATCGGACCGGTGGCCCGCNGAGGCCGGGTAGCTCACTAAGCACGCTCCCACCAAGGCTGTGCGCGACTCGGACTACTATATAAGACTGTTCCCCATGTATCTGTACTCTCTAGTTCGTCCATCTTGCTACCCACATAGACGTTCTCTTTTCTTTCTTGTCTTAAACTTGTCTTTACTGCGTGACCCGGAGGTATCCGTCCTAGTGAGCCCCTAGCAGCACGTCGCCCCCAGGCATCGCGAGATTATGCAGGCCCTTCGCGAGTTGCAGACTGTGGTCCAGGCGCAAGGTTTGGGTTACCCAGCTCCCAACTCTACCGTTGGACACCGCGGCCCTGGTACCGCCGTCTTCGTCAACAGCTCCAACGCGCCCCCGGCAATCGCCGCTTCACAAGGCGGACAACGGCGCCAGGATGCCGACCACAATCTCACGGATGGGGCGCGTTTGCATACTGTCGGGCTTTCGGAAGATCGTTTGAAGGGCATACTGGCAAGCTCCTTAGCGCCCTTTCACGACATGGCTGGGAACGTTCAAGATCTCACCCGGCATTTCGCGGAACTTGAGCCCATTGCTGGCCGCGTGAATGAGATGTCTGGGCGTGTGGACTCGATCTCAGGGCATGTGGCCGCTATGGGCACCGACATGCAGTCGCTGGTTGCACGGGTGCAGCGCCTCGAAGATGTTGGCCCTCTCGCGCGCAATCTGCGCGTCTTCAACGAACATCAGGATCGAATGGGCGAAGCGCCTGCACCAATCCTGATTCTGCGCTAGAGTACGACGGCCGCGGCAACACCCTCACAACGTTCAATGCCAACTGCACCCGGTGAACCTCTGCCGACGCCCTCTGCGCAAGTTCTGAACGCCGAACAACAATCCCGCACCTCCAGTCCTCGGGTGGCAACGCCCAGATCGGTATCTCTTGCGCCGCCCCCTAACCCCGACATTCAGGGTAGACCGCAACTCAATGCCCCGGCTGCTGAACGTTCTGGCACCCAGCTTGATGCTGTGTTGGCTCGAGACCGCGATATCCTGTCCCAGGTCCCGGTATTAGCATCGCTGGCAGTCCCGACTACGATCAACCCCGCGCTTATCAATCCTTCTCCGCCGACCGCCCCACTCGCCGTGGATGTTGAGATGGTCCCACAGCCGCATATGGGGATGCCGGAATCGGAATCACCGCTGACTACAAACCCCTCCCCAGGAAATGTTGGTTTGCGGTCCTCGAGGGTCGCCTCGCCAGCGGGATCTCACGTCGAGCAGCAAGCGCCCAGCTCAGTCGCGAGGACCAACGCCGCCGCTTCCGATGGGAATTCGAGCGATGAGGACGAGCCCATGGAGACCGGCGAAGACTGGGCGGTCGGCGACACAAGGAAACGCCGCGAAGACGAGATTGAGCTCTCCGGCGACGAGCGCGCGGCGAAGAGGCATGCGGGCGATATCACCTCAGGTGATGAAGATGCGGACGGCAGCTCCGACGACGAGGCGCAACCTGCGCCGGCTCCCGCAGCTGTCAATCGCCAGAATGCCGCTCGTTCTGGTCGAGCTCGCGCCGCCGGCACCAGTACTGCCGTGGCTGCTCGACGCGCCGGTCCTCGTACGCGTTCGCGTCGATCTGGGTAGTAGGCTCTTCATATCCGCATCTGGACTTGCACTCGCGCTCTTCGCCTTCCATATTTTCTTTCTTCTCTCTCGCTCTCCGTATCGTGTTTGACCCCAGGTGCTCACCTTTACCGTATCAGTCTCATCATAATCTGTCGCAGTTTTCCATGTTCACGTCGCTGTCTTCTTGCCTACCCTACCGCGAACATTGATCCTACTGAACTTGATCTCAACGTGTGAAACTCCAGCCGGCGCGATTACAATCGCCGCATGTCCCAACAGACTTCAATCGCAGGCAAGTATTGTTGCACCAGTCTATTGTCTCTGCTCGCTAGACCAATATCAATGTAGAGTTTTTCTAAGCCGGCGAGATTTCAGGACTCGAGTGTCCAACGTTCGATCTCTTCTCAAGGAGTCCCCGCTACGTCCAGGGCCATTGTCGAACTAAGAAACGGCGAGCCCACCATATTCTCAATCGCCAGAACTGTGCGCGAGCAAACTTCCCTTGCTGGGATCTGGCTGGATTGGGCAACTTCCGGGTAGCAGCAGCAGTACCAGGCTACAATGCGGCGCTCTTGTTCTTCAACTCTGGATGATAAAATCTCCCTGACTTCTGCCTTTTGCGCACGGACGGTGTCCGCTTGCGCCATCAGATTCTGTACGAGGTCGACGAGAGCTGGGGGATCATGCGACTGCAGTTCGGGAAAAGCATCGACATCATCGACCTCCCTAATAGCCTACTCTGCGGTGAATCGATGCTCTGGGATAACAGAAATGTGCTCACAAGAGTGCTGAAGTAGAGCTGGGCGGCCTCGTCGGCTCGCGCGATCGCTCCATCGAGAATTTGGAGGCTAGCAGCCTCTTTCCACCACTCACCCGCGGTGAGCAACCGCTCTCCACATCGGCTGATCCACGCTTGACATTGCTGCCGCATCGCTCCATCGTCGACATAGAGGTCCATGTAGTGGGAGCCCATCAGGCGATTATAAGCCCGTGAATCCTTCAAAAGCAAATGTAACGCGTCGCCGTTGGATACGCCCGCCTCGTGCTGGATACTCTTACGCCACTCCATCAGCCCTGGAGGTCGTCCGCGAATAGCTAGATCGCCGCTAATTGGGTTACACAATGCCTGCCGCCAGGGGTTCCGATGAGATTAGGAGGGCGACGTACGCAAGATGTACTGACCACTTCGAACGCCAATCCCTTACTTAGCGTATAGAGGGAGACATCGGCCTCTGCTAATGCCCCATCCACCTGCGCGCCCAAAGCATTCATGATGGAGTTGTGGCGCGCGACGTAGACGTCGGATTCCTGTTCTTCTACAGACTCCGCCAACGGTATATCCCTTTCCACCCGAGGATCGATGATGGGGATTTGAAGAGGTTCATCATCATCCATGATGATGGTAAGACGAGAGCGCGCAGAACGCTCTGATCTCGTCTCAGCGATCCTTGCATCATCCCGCAATCCCGACACCTGACTGATATCATATTCTATTCCTGTGAAAAGTGTTTACATGTACAAACCACCCGGCTTGAATCAAGCCGCCCGATTTAAGCTTTCAAGCCAATTCGCGATCCAGCCATTTATGTGCTGTGGACCCCCATAAATCTCTCCTTGCCTACAGAAGTGTTGTTGGACGGCGGCAATTTCTTGGGAGGCTGCCGGCGCCCCATCGTATAGATGATGATACGCCGCAATTAAGCGGTCCTCGGCTTTTGCGGCTGCCCTCTCCAGCAAGAGTTTGCGCCTAGCTAGATCCTCTTGAAGCTGCCTCAGTTGGCCATCTAGATGCTCGACGGTGTTCACTAGGTCAGGCGCACTGACGAACGCTTCACCATTGCGACCGTGCACTTGCAGCGGCGGGGCGCAGGCAAATGCCTGCGGCAAATCCAAACGCGTAAATAAGATTGGAGGGACGAACGCGATAGAGCGTTACCTCGGTAGTCATCAGGAGATGTACGGCGTTTGCGGCTTGCATTGCGTCGCCTTCGAGGGATGGGCGTCGCCCGTGTTCCCACCAAAGGTCCAGGTCAACATGAAGGCCAAGACTGGCGACGAATGCCGGGATCTCTGAAATTGAGCGAGGCGCCAGGGGCAAAACTGCAGTCGGCCAGCGCACATTTCGGCCTTTGGTGTGAAGGCGCTCGGCCTCAAGAATATCGTAGCCGCCGTCAGCCGTATTATACGATGCGTCTTGAAAGGCCGCCGCCGCCGAATCGAGAATTGGGTGCGGCGGCACGCCTTGGATGGCAAGCGCTCCACTGATAGCGGCGGCTATTGCCTGCGGGGCGAGGGTAATTATCAGCCGCAGACTGACGACGGTGAGTACAGTACCGTGCTCACCGCTCCGAATTTCAATCCATCGGCAAGCGCCACCCGATGATCGAGAGCTCGGGAGTTGCGGCGAAAGATCGCAGAGCCCATGATGGCGATCAATCTCAGCTGCGCGGCGGCTTCTTCAGCCAGCGCTAGATCCTCTCGTCGCATGGGGGAAATCGAAGGGTTGTGCAAACCCTTTGAGGCAGACTCGGCCCCGTTATATAAATGCCGAACATGAATGCGGCATTTGCCAGAATCGTGTGATGGCTCGGCCACGTGTTGAAAGTGGGCCACATATGAGACCATTCACTGGTTCTCCTCAGCCGCCAACTGCCTACTCTTTGGCTCCCGTTCGACCCTTGCTGCAACATTATGTCTGACGACATATATGAACTTGAATCTTTCTGGTGGTCCATGGAGCGCCGCGCAGCTGACATTGTCACGTACTTCGTGACTTTCCCGCGAATTCGCTTGATTGTCCGGGGGTTGACGTCGGAATTGGTGAGTCCGCACATTCGCGTAGCGCTGTGTCGAATTAGAACGGCGATCTCCAGTCAGTTCTGCGAGCGGCGGTCGGTAGCTACCGCCTCAAGAAGGGGAAGATGCCACCCCATTCCGATTTTCTCTGGCAGCTGCAAAATACCCTCAGCAACGATAACAAGGCCGAATGGGAGCAACTTCCGCGTCACGGTCTTCTTGTACTCACTGGCAACTACGGGCCTGAGAGGCGCGATATGACTGGGTTCCCTCGCTGGTGGTTGGACCATCCCCGCCTCCTTCCGTTCAGCTATAGGGCCCAACCCTTTGATCTTTCCCTTTGGCTAATCTCGGACGCTGTGAAGCTCGTCAAGGGCGCCCTGGAGGACGAGGTAAGATTCATTAAGGCGGATGATATTGTTTCTAACAATTATGACAGGGCGCAGATGTGAAAGTGTTCGTTGCTGATGCAAGAGCTGTCGCAGAAGGATGTCGTCGACTTCAACTGTCGACCTTTGAGTGTGCGAGAGCAATAGACAGCGGGCATAACGACAGCCAGGACGTTTTCGCAATTTTACATGGGGCTCGTCAGGACGCTGCCACTTACGCACAGAGACGATACGAAGACGCGCATGGGCTTCCCCACGGCCCAGTGCCGCAGCGGATCCGATAGCGTCGCTATCGATGTCCCATGAGCTGCTCGCCGTGCCCTCTAATTCGAACGTCACAGGTTCGATGAGCTGGCTGAAGCGGGAGGTCCGCGGACGGCTGATGGTGGCTGGCATATCTTCACTGCTGTCGGTCCCGACGGTGCTGCGGACCTCGTCATTCACCATCGCCGGGTCGAAGGCGGTTGACGGCGAATGCGTGCTGCGATCTGTCGAGCTAGACTGAGGCTCAGGTGTCGGGGGTCGTTGTTTCTTTCGGCGACTACCCGCGCCCCTCTTGCCGCCAACCTTGGGCCGCGCTCCTTTGGGCTTAGCGGCGGCACCTGCACGCTTTGCACCAGCCTGGCCTGCGGGCGATACCTTGGGTCTCCGAACGACCATGGTCTTTCGCCGCTTTGAGGGCGGAGGAGGCTCTTCATCGTCTGATTGCGGCCACAACTGATCTTCCGGCGGCAGTGGTTGCCATCCACCGCCGGTGACAATAGGCGCTGGTAGCTTCACCGTCCTCTTCGCCGGGGTGGTACCGACGGTTCTGGCCTCCGCTCGCATCCTTCGATTTGTGCGCCTCCTCTCCTCCAGCTCCGCTAAGCCTCGCAAACCCTTTCGAGTAAGCTCCTGTACAGCCGATCTCGGTTCGTTCGCTATCATTTGCCGATATTCTTCCACGGAATGTGGAAGTTGGATGTCATCCATGTCCACCGCAAGGAAAGCAGGGTTCAGCCCGCTCGGCATCCAGTCCTGCGCATGACTCTGGCCGGCTGGAGAGCTACCTCGTACGGTGTCTGAGGGATGATGCGACGATGAGCCATCACCGAGCTGGGAATCTTCCTTGCCGTCGTCATCACCGAATAGGTCAACGTCATCAATGGCGGGCAGGGTAGACTCGAGGCCCACAGCGGCATCGTTCGCCCATTCCGCGATGGCGCTTTTCAGTTGCTTTGTTTGCAGCCGGATGGAAGAGCCCGGGAGCAACGCTGCGCCGGGGTGCGTCCAGGCTTCGTCGTCCAGGTTCTCCAGATCAGCGAATATCAGTGCGATTTTCAACATGACTGCCAGTCCGGTCTCGAGGGAGCGAGCTTTATTTGTTGATGGGTCGATGAGAAGGTCCGGCCGCTTCAGCCAGTCGAGGATAATCTGCGCAAGGTCTGGTCGGCCATGCAAAGACGGGGGTAACCCACAGCGTTGCCATTGCCAGGATGGAACCCCATTGGGATCTGTAATCCAGGAGGGGCCGTCCCTCGATGAAGAATGCGGAACAACCGCGAAAGGATGTTGAATGGGACCAGGTTCCTGTCTATAATCAGAACGGTCGAAACAGCATCGTGAGCGTCTCAAGTCACACACCATTCGGGCCACAAGTCGCAGGAGGGGCAGGAGTACATCTTGTGTCTCGTTACGCAAAACATACGCCAAGTAGTGCGTTCTGGAGTTGACTATCGCGTACTTCGCGCAGGGCGGCCACCCAGGATACTGATATCGCTCGTTGTATTGAGTCAAGGCGTTGGAGAAATCCTCAAAGATCGCAATGCATGTCGAGGCACCGGCGGTAAACGTTTCCACACCATGATCGCCAGTAGATGAACCTCCTGCGGCGGCGAAACCACGCAAGTATGACACCCAGCCTAGCACAAAAGTCCAGGCAAGTTCGGTCCCAGAAAAGACGTCGACACCAGCTTGGATCACCCGCCATGGCGAACCCTGAAGAAATAGCAACCACCCAGCCATGTTGGTGGAAGCATTGGGCTCGGTTGAGCGCATGGTCCACCTTAGATTGTCAGGTAGTCTGACACGTTTTCCCGCCGCGGTCAGCGGGTAAGAGCAATTCGGGATCATCTGTTTGTCGTTTCAACTCGACGCAATCCAGGGATTGCGCTACACTTACAGGCAGTTCGACTAATTGCTGTATCGCAGACTTTAATCCGCGAGTAACGCGGGGAGATAAACCAGGACAATGGTGCTGAATCTGAGAAATACTCCACTGAGCTCTAGCCTCGCTATTAGTGGGCACAAGGTAAGGCGGAATGTTGTCCTCTGCCGACGTTAGCAAGTCGTCAGGATCGGGCACCGAAGGTATATCCAACATCTCCAGCATCTCCTGTTCGCTCACGGAGTCGTCATGCACGATATGCCCCCGCTGGCTCCCGTACGGTGACGGGTGCAAAAACAAACCATCTTTCCCCGGGCGGCGAACCAGCTTAGGCACAAATTCGAGAGCCGCGCGAGCTGCCTGCGGGATGATGTCTGCCGGTCTCGCGTAGCTTGGCATGGAGCTCGCCCACCACCTCTCCTCCAGGGGGATTGGGTTCATAGGCAAGCTATTCTTGCGCTGCCATCGTTCGAACTTCTGCCATCGTTCGAACTTCAAACCGTTTGTGACCGTAAACCAGTGCTTCAGATACTTCGCGCAGTTAGGTTGGCGCAGAGCGGTCGGAATGGTCATGGGTATATCGGGCAGCAAGTACTTGCCGTTGACCAGTAAGTGGAAAGATGCCCATGGCGGGTCAAGGTCGCGGAAGCTTGATATATTACCTATAGGAGTGCATGAGCTTACGCGTAGCACACAAAGCCGGTAAGTTTACTGTGCGCCATTCGGACAATGGTATATACCATTGATATTGCTTCTTTAAAGAACAGCTCTTCATCGTATTCATTCGCGTTCAGGACGAGTCCGTCGTGTCCGATGAAACTAGTCTCGTCGATGGTCCAAGTCGTCTTGCGTTTCAATTGCGATTTCTTGTCCAATATGCGCAACTCATACATGAACTCATGGCTGTTTCCATACTTGATCAGGACTGTCGAATCGCAAAGGCACCATGGGCTGACGTACAGGCGTGGTGGGTTTGTGAGTCCAGGTTCAGGAATCGCCATTGTCACCAGATGCTGGCCAAACTCGCGTATGGCCGTCATATGGACATTTCGGATCCAAGTTTGGAAGCGGCGGTAGTACGCTCTGAAAGTTGCGGCGTGAGCGAAGTTCAAGGCAAGCGGAAGTGCGCCGCTTACTCCATCTTCTGTTCCACAGGCGCAGAACCAGACTGCCACTCGTTGGCCATCTCTGTCAGCTGAAGCCGGTCGCCAGAAGGCAGCTTCCAGTAAAACACCGTCTGGCATTTGATCCGCTGTCCAATATATCCTCTGGTGTCGCCCGGCCGCATTCCTGTGCCCAAAAACACCATTTCGTCGATGGCTTCGCGATAGACGATCCCGCACACTCGCAACCCAGTCCATTTGTGCGTGCTAAGCTTCTCGGGCATAGCCGGTGGACCTCGGATACGGCCTTGTTCCGCGAAATAGCGTCTCAACGCCTTCCGCAAAGGCCTTGAGGGTCTATATTGTGAACAAAGCTAACGCAACTTACCGACCACTGGCTTTTGAACTCTGTAGTTTGTGGTCTGCTAGACCAATCCAGCTCGTGTGGCCAGATAGCTTCCATTGCTTCGCGAAAAAAAGCAGGCCGGTCGGCAGGCGCTAGTTGCACATAAGCATCCACACATTGCGCAAGTTTGTTCAAGCCGTCGACCGTGAAGACTACAGAAGGCAAGACGTTGTCTGCAATCTCGCCATATGAGAGGGCTTTCCGGGTCATGGTTCACGGAGAGTGGTTTGACGAACAAATGGCGGGCTAAGTCCAAGGCTTGAGGTTACACGCGACGCGTAGACGTCGGCGCAGACACATGGATTCGCCTTCGCCACGGGCGCTACATGGGCGCTGAGTCAAGAGCAATGATCAGACTGCGCGTACAGAATCTCGTCCATTCAACGTCTCAGGGCTGCGTGCTCGGGATGGCAAACCGTCCTATAATGCATATTCATCTTCCGTTGCATTCAATCCCTTAGACAAGTCAGCCACCATCACCGGCCTTGTAAGTCCCGGGCGTGACTGCGCCCTATCTGTTTCAAATGTCAGCGTGTACATTAAATGAACTGCAGCCGCGCTCTTCATTTACCTTCTTACCTCCACATCCTGAGGGTTAAACTGGACTGATTGGCGGAATGTCTAAGGATTCTTCATACCGCTACACAGTCACGAATCGTACGGCAGCTGCGAACCCTGCTCCTACTTCACAAAACATGAGACCCGCTTACGCACCTAAACATTACCTCAATAATCCTGGTCCTAGAGACAGGTTAGCAGCCGCAGCCGGTCCAAGCCGGGCCACTCGTGTTCCCAACGCCAATATCAGCTGGGAGCCGGCGCTGAGAGGTCACATCGCGCAGCAGATCTGGAGAGAGGCAGGGAGCGCTGCTGCATTGGGCGCGACGTCCCAAAGCGACTCGTCGTGGGAGAAAGAAGCCAGCGGCAACCCAGCTGTTGGTGGATCCACGAATAGTGCATTGCCGCTCAATTTCGCTGGAGCGCTTGACGAGTTGGAGGGAAACACCAGGGTCGACATGCTTGGTCTGCCAATTACAGGCGATTTAGATGATCTAGATTCCCACGAGCGGCGAACGAGCGAGGGAAAGGCAAGTGTGGAATTGCTTCCGCGATTCCGCGTCTTGCTCATGAGGATAGTAGACTCAAGTTGATTACCTGTTGCAATTCAAGGAGATGAACCTCGCACCGGAATATGCCCAGCTGATCCTGGCCTTTCGTCATGCAGCCCCTTCAGAGTTGAAATGCTCCAGTTGTGGACGGGCGGGGTTGGCGCGCTGGCGGTGCGGTCATTGTGCCGTGAAACGCGACTTTTGTTCGCCCTGTCTCCGCCAGGCCCATTGGCAGAACCCATTTCACACCATCGCATGGTGGACTGGTTAACATTACCGCAAGGCCTGGCTACGTGATGCAGGTGTCGCTATTCATCTTTGCCCGAACGCTGCGCTCGGGCAAGCCTGCCCCAGTAATCCTGGCGAACGTGTCGATTTCGACATACTAGACTCAACTCCGCCTCTGTCCTACAGTAGCTTCACCGGGAGCTCGCCAAGTACAGGCCGGCCACCGCCTTCCACGCAAACTAGCCAGGATCCCCTCACATCCGCCGTGAACCCTGGCGAGCGTATACACCTTCCGCCCGACTTCGCCGGACTGGACGAAGGGGAGACGGAGGATGTCCTGTTGACTCGTGGACCGGACGTGGACGACGAGTTTCAGCCCTTAGGCCCTCAGGACGACGATTTCGAAGAGAGCTTATCGCCAGGTGCATCGGTGGCCGGCGTCGTGCGCGAGGGCGGTAGGTCCTCTATTCCCACCAGAGACGTATATGGCTATAGGACTTTGGTTGCGGTGCATACGGATGCCATACACGGCATAGGAGTAGGTTTCTGTAAGTGCCAGGGTGCCCCGTCTGAGGACCGGCAGCTGGTGATGTACGGCGGTCTTTTCCCGGCATCGCAGGATACACCGTCAACAGCATTCAGCCTTCAGTTTCTCGAGTACCGACACATCAACGATGTAATCTGCAAGACTAGCCCACAATCCCATATGCGCAAGATCAGGCGTTGCACGGAGCCGGACGAGTTGAGGCTTGCCCCAGTATGCGCTCTCGAGACCTCTCACAGTCAGGCCTGCTGACCAGCGCTTTTAGAACCGGTATCCCGAGCTACTTCTTGTGTCGCGCCTGTACACCGCGATCAAGAATCTCATAGACTTCGGCTACGCATCCCAACCGCTAGCGAAGTACCGCGAGCCCACTGGTGGCGCTCTGGTTTGGAAGTGCATTGTCTATCCACGGAAAACGATCGACTTCAACAACATACCGAAGATCTGGCTCACAAACCCCAATGAATGGCGCAAATTTGTCTCCCTCTGCTACGACGGAAATTTCAGCGGGGATCACACGATATCCCGGAGACTGGGAAATAATGTGCCCCTCTTTCCCGGAACAGGCATGTTCGACCATCCAGACGCCGTCGCCGCGCACGCTGAGAAAGCAATGGACGATAAGGCCCTGCGGAGAATATACCCCAACTTAGTGAGTATGCTACCTTATGCAGTGCTGCGCGGAGCCTAATACTATACCTCAGAATGCTAAGGATAGGGCGTGCCATGACCACAAGGCTGCCGCTTCAGTAGGCAAAGCACGCAGCAAGGTTGTGGACATCAAAGGTATTGGGTCATGGGCCTGCTCCAGACACGGCTGCTTTTGCGCTTGTTCCACCAACAACTTCAATCTGGGTGAAAGGTAGCTGGTATTTCCGCATTACCGGCGACTTGCTGAATGCCCTCACAGCCAAAACCCAGTGGATAAGAGTCTCGATTCCGCATTCCGCCATACCATAACCGACCAGATAACGCGAGCCCAACTTCTATACGATATCTGGTGCCGGTACGGCGTGCATGTGGTGAAGCGCTTCAAACACAGTGGACTGGACTGGCCCAAATTTCGAGAGCTGCTACAAGGTGTCGGAGTCTGGCATATCTATGGCCATGTTCTGGAATGTTTTCGCCGCTTCTCTCCGTCTTATTCTCCACGCGCAGGGATCGTGGACGGTGAAATTCTAGAGACCTTATGGTCTCTACTCAACGGCATCCTTCAGTCTTGCCGAGGCATGTCCCTCGCGGCTAGGGAGGAGAAGATTAACATGCATATGAATGACATCAACTACCGAAAGATAGTCGAAATGGGTATGTTCTTCTGTCCCGCTAGGCCAGAGATACTCAAACCTTGCAGTTGGTACTATTGTACGCAAATATCGCAAGTACAGCAACGAGCTCCAGAATCGTCGGCGCCACCTGTCTCGGCTAGAGCTTTCATGCAGCGAAGAGGATATACAGCGATGGGAAATGGCTCGTCAAGAGCTTGAAGAGAGACGGGCGAAGGATCCCCTTTACGCTGATGAATTCTGGGATCAGCCTTCAGCGCCGCCAGGTAATGTATGCAATTTCTCTACAGTCCATCGTCTGATCGTAGCGTTTCAAGAACCTGGCAAGGACGTGACAGAGGTTCAGTTGTTAGAGGGGGACCACAACGGGGTCGTCAAGGCTATCATTGGGTCAATGAAGCTCGAAGAGGACAGGTGAGTTATATTCTGAGCGATCGATGGTGCCGGGTTCTGATATGTTACATAGCCTCCGTATGCAGGCTCAAGGCAAGGACTGGGGCACATCTCTCGAGGATCGCCGCACTGCAGCCATCGCAAGAACGAGATTCAATAACCGCCGTTTGCGAGCCAACCGAGAGTTCACATCTTTACTGGGCGCAGACTATCAGGACGAGGAACTGTTACCTGCGCGATTGGCAAAGCTGCTCGAGGAAGACGAGTGGTCGGAAGATTGAGAAGTCTCACACCAACATCACCTTCGCGCTAAGTCCGAATTTCGCCCTGTCCATCTGCCGTCAGGATGGCCCGCAAACCACCGAAAGAGAGGACAGTTAAGCGAACCCCAGACGGAGGCCATGGACGCAGAAATGGAATTGCGACTAGCGGACATGGCGGAGCGCCTACAAGCCATCAGAGAGGGTCTGTGCGACCAGGCGCAAGGCTACCTACTCGCCATTCGTAATAAGAAGGGAAAAGGGAACGCGAACTATCGCCAACGAACCAACGCTTGGATACACGTTCGCCAGCAGACTAAAGACGTCAGAGTGCATGCGGCGATATACAACCATCACGTACGCCGGCTCCATCTCTGCTTTTGGGATGACAGTCAGGAGGCCCTGGAGAGATACGCCTCGCTCAAGGTACGCTACAAACCTATCCTCGCGAACGACATCCGCTGTTCCACAGCCACCTACTACATGTACAACGATGTGCGGACTCGAGGAGACTTCACATTGCCTTGGTTCTGGCGCATGCAGCCAATGGTCCCGATCGCCGAAAAGGGATTGGCTGGAGAGCCAGTTGTGGACGACGAGACCTTCATAGGAAATTGTGCGTCGCGTACTTTGAATCCAACCACCGTACCTTCTCAATTGACCGATAAAGTCTTTCGCACCAGGTGGATCAACGCGAAATGCGCCGTCGTTTGCTGTGAGGAAGAAGAGTTCATGTTGCAGGGAGAGATGCAAACCTGCTATCTCGGATACATGTCTCTCGCATACTCATGGCGTCGGCGCGCGTGCATGTTGCCCGAAGCCTGTGACACCGGGGACCAATTTTCAGGGCAGCGCGCGCACGCTCTGCAAAACATGCATAGCTGGTTAGACCTGGCGGCCCATGCTCGACAGTCTTTCAACTCCGAAGTGGCAGATATTATAACCGATGACCTCCAATAACAAGCATGTACCACGATCGATATGTTTAATGAAGAGGCCGTGATCGTGAGATATGGGACCCTTCTGTCGACTCTTGTTAGCCTAAGTCAAGTCGCACAATGAACAAAGAACCTTCACCGAGCACCTCGCCGCCTCAGACGCCGGCCCGTCGAACTTCGGGTATCCCGATCAACGCCTGCCACCAGCCTTCAGGCAACGTCGACGGACCGGTGGGACGCGCGGGGTTTTGACCGCCCAGCCAGCGGATTACCGGTGGACGGGCGTAGCAAGCGATGCAAGCGCGCTCTTCTTCGAAACCCCAAACCTCATGGGTATGTTGGTGACCCGAGAACATAGCCACAGTGCCGGAGTCGTACTGAACGCGGATGCCCAGACCGGGAAGAGATAGGATTGTGCGCGGCCCTCCTCCAATGGAAAGCAGTAGGTCATAAAATCCAGCACCGCCGCTCGCCCGGTCACGGTGTAAAGGGGTCAATCTGTTGCATATGAGTGTCACGGCGTTGAATGCGAATGTCCATTGCTGCATGTGGCGATTGAACTCCGGGAGAGAAGCCAGATATCCCAGAGCTTGACGAGTTTCCCGATATTGTGCAGGATGAGCGATCGCCAGCGCGGTGGATAGCAATAGCCCAGTCTCGATATTAGCCGCCAGCCAGGTTTGGGCACTGATCTGAGCAGCATTATCGGCTCGTCCCGCGGCGGCGCCGAGGTTGCGGGATATGTACAAGGTGTCGTTGTATCCCTGTCAACCGATTAGCTGAGACGGAACAACAGGGCCTCTTCGGCAAGCTCAGAGCCCTGACCTCTTGCCCCTGCGCCAGCCATCCCGGCGACAAGGTCGTCATGCCCCGCCCAAATGCTAAGTCCGAATTGCTGGCGTAAAGATATCGAGAATGCCGCCAGCGCGATGTTTTCCCCTGATGATCAGGCTTCGGGGATGAGCAGCGATTGCTTTGGACGCCAGCGAGACTGCATTCGCGACCTCGGCCTGCAAAGGTTCGCTCAATGGGAAGAAACCGGTGACAGGAAGACCTTACCTGGCGCTCCGGCAAAAGCATATCAGGCAGATAAATGAAAACGACCTCCTCCGCGTCATCAACGATGCTGAAGGGGCTGTTCATAGGGGGCAACTCATGGCAAGGGGGGAATTGTTCTTGCAAGCGAGCTTCGAACTCTGGAGAGTCGCCGCGTTGATTATTGCTAACGCAAGCACCGTGTGATCTGGCATTCCATTTGAGAGCGACTGGGAATGCAAAAGTATCCCTGAGCAAGCGGTAGAACTGCAGTGGAGCCGGCGTACTTTGGTGGGTGGTAGCTTCAATTATCCGCTGAGCGACGACGCGGAGTTCAGCTTGAAAGCCCGCTGGTATGTCGTTATGGCAGATCGGAGTCGGTACATTATGGCCCGGTAGGTGGGACGAGATCCCCTTCAGATAGCTCGCAACACCATATTCCGTGCAGAGGTCTAAGAGCCAAAGGCTTGCGGTCGCCGCCATGGTAGTCGAGGGACAAGGTCCAACTCAAGATGTTTGGGCTTCATCTCGCCAAGTTCAGCTTTGCCACGTGACGGTCACTATTCTCAGAAAATACAACATAATTGAGTAGTTTAGGTCTGTCTACATTAGGGGATGGTAGCATCGCCGACTTCAATGCGTCGCAAGCCAGAGCCAAGGCGCTCAGGGGAATTGAATGCCATCCCCCAGCCCTGACACCAGGAGGTTGAGGATCGCTCAATCCCGTCCAAGACCGGAGGTAGGAGTACGGTTTCAAGCAAAGGGCACGGATACGACTGCCCCTCGCACGGCGTGTTAAGATAGATCCCAAAGGCGTGCAGATGACTAAACGCCAGTTGGCCCTGCATCCCCTGATGGAATGGCGCGTCGGGCTCAAGCCAAGGACTGGTGAAGCGGATCACCCTGAGACCGCCGAAATTGTCGAGAATATGCGCGTACCCCAAGGAGCGGTCCGGCAGCCAAGACTCGGGAGCAAACTCGAGCTGCTCGCGGACAGCGGCGTTGTTTTGTCTTGTCGCTAGAGCGGCGCAAATGGTGTACCGAATACTATCGTATAAAGCTTTCGGCATTGCGGTGTTCAGATCGCCGCGTCGCTCCTCTGCCAGAAGGTCTCCGTCGCGGGCGGTGATGGACCGGCGGGTATATTGTTTGCTATGCATGGGCTCGCTTCCTCCCCAATCCCGACCGCAGGGATCCTGCAAAAGGCGGTGCAATTGTGTAGGAGAGGAGGCGAAGACGACGGCCGTGAGCTCGGGAAAGTACCCGGCGACCCGGCGCCCCTTAGGTATCGAGGGATCAAGACGGATATCAATGCCAATGGCGAATAGAGACAGCCAGAGCTGTTGAGAGGGATTGCGAGCGGGAGGGAGCCAATGAAAGATCGAGGTGGCGGTCTGGTCCGGTGCTGCGAGCGCACTGGCGTACTGAGAGAACTCTGACCCCTCAGTATTCGTCGCCTCCAACTCCAACACTTCGTATGGCACTTCAAACGGAGCCCGGCGCACCATCCTTGACTTGCACAGACGCCTCCACTTAACGACTGGTTCGAGGTGGAGGTCGATGTTGGCGGGCAGGGTAAGGGAACGCATGAATTCGCCGCCCGTCGCCTCGGGCGCGAGTACTCGAAGGAAGTGCAGTTGGGGTAGAAGGACGGGCTGCAAGGACTCGAAAGACGCCCCACCGGCATCGATAGTCAAATATTCTAAAGTATTCCGGCAAGTGAATAGGGCTTCTGAGAACGAGGACTCGAAGACGACATTGCTCGCACAATCGTGATAGAGGGAGAGTGAAGTGAGAGCGTCTGAGTATAAGAACGTGCGGCATCGAGCAAAAGAACTGACGCGCAGACCTTGGATTTTCTCAGCTGCGATCGTCCCATTAATAGGTTGGTGATGATTGTCCTCATAGATCTCGACGTCCAGGTGCCGCAGCGGGCTCCCTGCCGCGCCCCAATCCTGCATGATGAAGCGATCCACCTGAGCAACACCCGAATGCCGTTCGCACCGTGGAAGCGCTATCTTGACTTTCTCCAGTCGGGTGAAGAAGGGGCTCACGCCTGATAGCAAGCAAGAGCAAACGTGCGCTGCCGCGAGTGTCGAAGTATTGGACCGAACGTTCTGGCTTTGTCGGCTCCCCGACGCTCTCCTGCCCGCGCCCGAACGGGAGCTGCGTTATACAAGGCGTTGTCGAGCCTCCAGATCTCCGAGTTATCGCAAGTAAGGAGTTCGCGTAGCCGCCGATTCACCTGAGATAAGCGATGGGCAGGGGATTGTAAGTCGATCCTCGTAGCGGATCGGTCCTTCAAGCAGCGGGGTCGACCGCGGTCCCAACTCGTCCCCATGCAGCAAGATGGGATGCTGATCCCGGCCGACATCGCCTGCCCGTCCGGCGACGACTCCACTGCATAACGGCTTATGTCGCCGTAAGGAGAGTGGATCAAGAAGGTATCGTGCTGCCAGATCAGCTGTGCCCAGAGAGCAATTTCCAGCATCACATCGTCGACTAGGTCTGCGAAGCCTAGGCGGCCGAGGCCACTTGTATCAGTGGATCCCCTCATGGTTGCCCAAGTTGTAATTCAACAAAGTCGCAACCTGCTGCGGTGGCTAAATCGTTCTGGGCGATCAACACGTGATAATTTGATTGATCAAGAACATCTGCGCCTCGCCGGCCGCGGGTATCCGCGGTTCGCGCAGAATAGGTGCGGTTGCCTAGCGCCTAGCCCGTAAGCGCTCTGCTAATCAAGCGCCGCGGGCGCTTTTATCTCAGTCGGCCGGCTTGGGTGCTTTGCGGCCCTCAAAGTTACCTCTCTTCTCAGATCTTGCGACATTGTATGGAAAAATGAATTCCAGTGGGCACGAAGGTGCGACGGCAGACAGGACGTAGTTTACGGCGATCGGTCTAGCTACCTAGATATGATTGAGATACGGGGAGCGCCAGCCTGGAGACGTTCTGGCAAATTGAAGATGTCATCCAAATCGCGGAGGTTGGGATAGCCGGGCTCCGAACGCGGAGACGCAAGAGGGATTGACACAGTGTCAAGCATGATGCACGGATACACCTGCCCCTCGCCCGGCGTATTCAGGTAAAGTGCGAGGGCATGCAGATGCTCAGATGCAAGGCGGCCCTCCATATTTTGGGCGAACCGCATACCCAGGGCCAGTGGAGGGCTGAGGTAGCGTATCCTGCGCAAGCCCTTGAGCGCGTTGAGGATGTGGTCGTATCCTAACGATCGATCAGGCAACCAGGAATCGCGTGCAAATACTAGCTCGTATACGACTATTGACGCAGTCGCGCTTGCGCTTTGCAGAGCACGAAGCAGATAGCGTACGGCATCATAAAGGGCCTTAGGGTACAAAGCCTTCGGCGATACCCTATCGTCGCTGTCGTCGCTATCGTAGCGGGCGGGTCGAGAAGATCTACCGTCTCTGACAGTCAGGGATCTACATGGGACCCGGGCGTCTTGATTACGGCGCCAATCTCGTCCTGCGGGATCCAGCAGCGTCGACTCGAGGTCGTTGACGGACGGTGCGAACGATGCGGAAATAGAATCGGGAAGATATGCCGCGACGGGGGAAGCGGGATGGGCATCTAAGGCGATGCGTATATCCAACCCCAGAGCGACCGTGCCTCTCCCAGATGCAGGTCCGCGCGGCGCGCGTGCGGGCTCCTCCGAGAAGATCTCTCCCATGTATGCGGGGTCGAAGAGCGCTTTGGCATATCGTGCAAGTCCCGCAGCAGCGGGTATTCCTGCATCTCTGTCGAGAGCGTCGAGATCCATCTCGAAAGGCGCCCTCGGCACCATCCCAAATGATTGCAGCCTCCAACATACGACGGGCTCGAGGTGGAGATCCACTGAAGATGGCAGGCTGGCACATCGTAGGAATCGATACGCGGTGCGTTGGGGCGCGACAAGACGAAGGAATAGAAGCTTCGGCAGGCTGAACCCGTCTAGATCCTCAAATACCGCATGAGCAGCATCGATAGTAAGATAGCGGAGTGCTCCAGAGGAAGCTTGTAAAGCCATCGATAAACTCGCGCTATAGCGCGGCCTCCAAGCTCTCGAGTGGAATAAGTAGAGTGCATCCAAAAGCGGGGAGTGGTAGTATATGTTCCCGCCTGAGAAACAACCGACCTCGAGACGCGGACTAAGAACTGCCACCGTTCTGATGTCTTGGTGTCTGGGGAAGTGCGGGGATTCCTCTAATATCTCCAGGTTGATATGGCGAAGTTTGCTGTCTTCTCGCCCGCGTCGCTGATAGAAGAACTGATGAAGAGCGGATTGCGCCGTGTGGTGGTCTTGCCATGGTAGGGCCAGCTTCACATACCCCAAAGCCTCGTAGGAGCGTTCAATGGCAGGGATCAGGCAGTTACAGACGTTGACGGCAACGAGAGTTGTGCGTTCTTGGTCTTTGCGCAACGTTATCGACTTGAAAAGAACATTATCTTGCTTCCAGATTTCGTCGCAGCCCTTGTCAAGTAGGTTCCGCAGGGCTTGGCAGGTTTGCGAAAGTCGATGCGCCGGCGAACGCAGTCGCAGCGGAGCGGCCAGAGACAAACAGATGGGGCGAGTGAAATCCCAGCGTATGCCGTTGCAACAGCTTTTCGTCTCGACGGTGGTTTGACGCGGCGCGGCAGGTATGTACCGTCGGGGGCCAGCGTAGGGATTGTGCGCCGCAAAGATCTCGTTGTGCCAGAGGAGCTGCGCCAATTCTATCACCTCTAAGATCAGTTCAACAGGCAAGTCTGTGAGTCTGGACGCCGCGCGGCCGTCGCGATCGGCCATGACCGCAGGAGTCGAAGTCGCGATGTCTAGTGCAGTGCGAAGTACGATATCCGGCGATCTCCGGGATCATCGGCACCGGGCCGGTCATCCTTGGGGCGCCCGACGTGATTTGATCAGCCGATAAAGGACCAACCGCGGCACTGGCAGGGGAATACATTGACATATTCAATAGGGAAAGCATCCAAGGTACAGTAATTGATGACAGAAGAGACGGGTATTTCAGACACTTTCAGAAACGTATCGAGATGTATCGTACGCTAGGCGCCTGAAGGCGGGCTTTTCTATTGAGACGTCGCTCCCATTCGAGAGCGAAAGCCCTGCGGTTGAAGGGAAACTGGTCTTCGGTTGTACAACGAATGCGCACGCAATGGAGGCTGCGACATGGGTAATCCGCAGTAACCCGGGGATCGTTCAGGAAAGTCGCTAGGGCTTCGAGTTGCGGGGGTGCCAACACACCTTCCATCGTCTCGTCGAAGGCTTCGTTTTCGCCCGCAAAGCGGAGGCAGCAAAGGGCAATCTCCTCGATTCCCTCGCAATGTTCCAGAACATGCGCCCAACCCAAAGAATACGCTGGCTTCCAAGAGCGAGGATGCAACGCCAGAGTTTTCAGCGATTCGAAACCGTCGAACGCAGGTCCTGGTTTGCCGCGCATGGCAAGCTGCATGACATGAGCCAAAGCGTCATAAACGGGTTTTACGAATTGACGCCGGAATGCTCTCGCCCGGTCAGCGGCGTTCAAGATTCCGTCTCGAAACGACAGCGTGCGCAAGGCGTTAGACTTCATACCCGGCAAGCTGCACGATCACCAGTCAGGTTCAATTGCCGCGCCGCGGTCCAATAATTCCTGCAATGTGCTCGCGAACGCGACGCCAACGATTTCTGGGAAACGACTGCAGGCCCGTTCGGCGGAATTTGTAGACGGGTCGAGCCTGACGTCCAACGCGACAACCCTCATCTTATCGCTCAGATTCTCCGGTCGGATGTGTATGAGAGGTGGCGTGTGAAATATGCTCGACGTTTGATCGGGTGCTGCCAAAGCCGCCATGAATCGCCAATGCCCATGAGGGCGGAGGTCGGTGTCCGCGTCTGCGGCGTCCTCCATGGCAGTGAAAGGCACCTCCAAGGGCCACGCATGACCGCTGTCCAATAAAACGTTCACCGCTTGCTCCGCTGCCCATCTCCAGTCGTAAACTGGTTCGAGGTGTATGTCCACGTCAGCAGGCAGTTGCAGGGCCTGAAGCAACCAGGCGCACTCCGCCGCAGGGGATACAAGTCGGATATAGCGTAGTCTTCGCAGCTGGATGAAGTTCTCGCCACCGATGTACATTGTGCTCGGTGCGTCGAGAGTCAGGTACTCAAGGCTCTCAGAGCAGAGGGCCAGGCCACTCCAAAAGCTTTGGCCGAAGCTGGGTTCCGCGATAGTGTACCGTATGCAGAGCGAGGTCATAGCGGTTGACGAATAGAAGAACGGGGCATGGATGGTGCGCGAGAATGTAACGGAGTTGCTACGAACAAAGCGCATAGATGGAGAGGGGATGTCCGCCGCACGAGGGGGGTCGAGATATTCAAGATCAAAGCGCTCAAGAGGGCTCGTAACGATATGATTTCTAGTAAAGACATCATTATTGTATGGGTGGGTGGGCGTGGCCCAAGGAAGCGAGAGTTTGACATCCTTCAGGCTGTCGTAGAAAGCCCGAATCCTGTTCAGTGGACAGGTGCACGTTGGTGAGGCAATGAGGGTCTGCGACTGATATGCGACGTTTTTAATGCTGGAGTGCCGCGCAATGCCAGCATCGTCCGCCTTGAAATGAAGCAACGCGTTGTCGCTCTCCCACGTGCGTGAATCGCCACCACGCACGACATCAAGCAGAAAGTGGCACGTCTGGCTCAGACAGTGGGCGGGGGAGAGTACGTGGCGCGAAAAGGCAGTCTTGACGCAAGATGGAAGGACGGCAGGGTTCACGCGGCTACAGCATTCGTCCTGTCGAATCATAATCTCGGAAGGGCCAGCAGCCTGCCTGCGAGTCGGAGTGCCAGATGAAGGCGTGAATTGATCGTTTACCCAGATGTACTGGGCCCAGATTTTGATCTCTAAGATGAGTTCGACAGGCAACGCAAGTATAGGGAAAACATCCACAGGCTCGGACATGGCGGACGGAAGCAGGAGCAAGTTGGACGCCCGCGAGGCCAAGCAAAAACAATTCCGTAGCCGGAGATAGCCGGAGATCAGGCCGTTGAACGTTTGCATCGAATTTTGTTGATCTCTGCGAAGCCGCGGCCCCTCGAGCCGCGATCGGCAAGCCCAGAGTCGTCAGTTTTGGCGGTTGCAGAGGCCTCAGAGATACGTTTCGCATCACAATTTTCGGGAAGGCCAGGATCATATAATGCTGGCTTCGACGCTTAACGACATCATGGCGCGCTTCCAGTCAATGACTGCTATGCGTGAGCAGATGCAAACTCTGCGCAGGTTGCAGGAGGCTCTGCTCTTCAAGGAAGACGCGGACATCGCAAAGGCCGCCGGTCCTGACGGCGACGAAGTGTCTAATCTTGTCCGACTTGTCGAGGCCCTCAATGTAATGCTCCGCGTGGAGTTTCGTCACCTGGATGTCAGACTTAAGCTGGCGCTTGCCCGACTCAATCAATCCCCAGGCGGTAAGTGGGAGAGATATCCTTCAACGATAGTCGTTGACGATCGTTCTTAGGGTTTGCCGCGTAATGCCTGCCATGGGTATTCTTACGTTTAGGGTTGCTGTCGGACCCCATAGCCCCCCTTTCGCCTAGTATATGCCTGCACTGCATGGAGGGAGAGCTATGTACTTTGCGCCCTTCCCATCATGATACTATGTTTCCTACGCGTTTCAAGCCCCCAAACTTCATTGGTCTAGCTAGTCTCGCCCGCTTCATTGAGAACCCTTTCCGGCAAGCTGGCGAGAGTTGCGCCTCGGGGCGGGCCGTGAATGCGTGAACCCTGACGTACAATCGCCGCACTCATGATTGTGTACCTCGTTGGCACCGCTGGTCATTGGCGATGGACCGTCGATTCCCCACACCCTACTGCGCATGCAATAGCGGCCATTCAGAAGCGCTATTTACCAACCGCCTGGTGGTCCGGCGACATCGCCTGGGAGTTTACAACGGAGGCGGCGTTCCTACACGTATTCCGCGGTGCATCTTACTGTCCTCCTCCGGAGGCGCAAGGGACTCCACGGCTCCCATCGTAGACATTTGCTTTCAAACCCTGACTACGACCGCTGCTCAACGGTGTCAATTTCTCAGGCGACCGACCTTTCCATCAAGGAACGTATGTCAACCAATACGACGTTTCAACTGCATAATGAAACAAGGAGAGCCAGCGTGATAGATATCACAGTTGAAGTCGGGGATACAAATACAGCGAGTAAAGAGCGAGGCAATCCACACGTAAACATAAAGGCGGCAGGCAAACACGGGTATGAAAGAGTAGCCAATTACTGAGGGCCTCTCAGTCATCGTCCTCCTCTGCTCGGCGGCGCTCGATGTTCGCCTGCAAAGAACAGATGAGCTCGGCACTCAGGTCCCTCGTCAGTTGCAGCTCTTCTACAGGCGCCAGGCGCATCAGTTTCGGACTGAGCGTATTCAAGAGCTTTGCATACCATCCAGAGCAACACCAAGGTCTTTGAAACCCTGGTCGACTGCGCGCTTCAGTGCACCGGTCTCGATCTCGACGGTCTCATTAAGATTCGTGAGACTGGTGTGCAGACGCCCGGCGGCCTTCCGCTGCTCTGGGTCAACAGCAGCACTATCCTTGAACATCTGACAATTGGCGGCGATGCCGGTGGCATTAGAGGACAGGGCTTGACTCATGCGTTCAAGGCGATCAGCGATCTCCCTGAAGAGTTCTATACATCCCATCAGCGGGTTGACATAATGAACAACAGCGCGACATGTACCGATAGGGGTCTGATCGCCATAGGCGCCGGCGTTGCCGGTCGTGCCATCAAAGCCATCACGCTCAAGACCCAGAGAAGAAGCAGTGAATAAAGTCTGCCCCATTGAGGGCGCCGACAGATGATAGTTCGAGATAAGAGGGGCAGCGTCGGTGGCCATGGTGGGTTGGAGCAAGACTGAAGCCTGAGAAAGGCTGCATCCCTGACTTATATAGGCTTGTCGCGCGGATCATTCCGGCGCGTGGCAGCCCTCTTCCAAACTTTAATGAGCTTCTTATGATGAAGTAGAGCTTCCTGAAGATCATAGTACCGGTACCACTGACGCAGGACGTATTCGGTTGTCCGGTCAGAAACCAATCATGTCTAATACTTGGATCGGACAGTTTTACTATTAACTCCTGTAGTCGTCGTTCGCAGCGGGACGTCTGTTTGTGGCGTCAGTGACAGATCGAAGACGCAACTTCACCGACAGTGAACGTAAGTAGCTGTCGGGCCCCGCGAGCTTTGCTCCATTCGATGATGACTTCGGGCGCGTAAACCGGTTATATCTGCGCCCGGTGTTGCTCAATCACGTTACGTTGTTCGCCCTGCAGGCGCGCCTACATACGGTCATGAGTCTGGGAGTCTGACGGTCTGACTGGCCTACTGACCGGCAAGTTCTGATAACGCGCTACGTCGATAGCGTACGTCTGTCCAGTCCGCCAGCGGCAGGATCTCACCAATGAGAATCGCAGTGAGCTGGAAACGGGGCGGGGTATTCTGAGAAGCGTGGAAAAGGGTCGTCACGACGGGGCGAGTGAACTGTTTCAGACTGCAAAGGATCAGATCGGCGAATTCAATTGAGATAGTTGCTTACGCGACCATTACAAGCATTCAATACAAATGCGTCAACTTGAAACCGCGTCCGGTCCAAGGATGCACCGTGCTTGCGGTCGCGGTGTTGTGAGATTGTCCAGCCGACGCGTGTACTGCTTCCACCGTTTACAAGGAACCCGGTCGGGAACGGTCTTGTCGAGAAACATGGCATGCTAAGAATCCCTAAGGCGAAACCATAGCTTCAGGGCGACTCGTCGGTCGAGAGCTTTGCCGTATAAGCGCATTGGTGTCAAGACCTACGCCTAAAGCTGGAGAGTCGAACCGCAACAATGTCTCACCGATGAATTGCTCAACGTGGCCGGAGTTGCGCATCCGCGAGTGCAGACAGTTGAATCTTTGAGCATAAGGTATAGAGACGACGGCGTAGAGCAAGGCGCGCCATTGTGAGGCCTCTTGACCATCAACTTGACCAGGCGTGGAGCAAGTTCTCGACGAACAATCGGTCATATCGAAAAAGACCGCGGGGGAATATATCGCTAGTCGGGTGCCGAGAGCGTGGTTGCCAGCTCTAAGAGCGGTCTGCGTTCCGGTCTACACATGGGATGACGCTCATCGACCAAGTCGCGTCCGACACCATATCAGAGATGGACCAAGGTACGGGATCCAGCTCACACACCTTTGTTAATTTTTCTGCCGACGAGGACCTTCGACGCCGGTGAAGGGATGCTGGAACTCAAACTAGCGTTGCTGCAGGCTCCGCCGCGGCTAGCGCGCTTGATAGTACTTGTAGTTTGCAGCGCGTAAGACATCACTCCTTGAATGAGGGTGAGCGAGAACAATGACCAAGTAGAGTTAGCAAATAGACTCATGGCGGCGGGAGTTGTGAACGAGGGGAGCGCGCGGCCACCGGACCATCAACCGTTCGGCGATCACCGGTCTTCAACAGGCGCCTTGCGAGCTCCAAAGGATCCTGTGCATAACTCCCACCTCTCAAGCTCTGTCCCTCCGCGCTGCCTTCACTTCGTCCCGCCATTTCCTTCCAGCCCTATATATGACTTTCAGTCGGGCTTGGAACGGTTCTATTGCTCTCCTAAGGTTATTCGTGACGCCAAATGCTCGGGCCAATTCAGATCGAGCGTGCGCTTTTCCCGCCGTCCCTGATATTCGATGTCTGAATTCGCTTTTTGGGCTTTGGAACGCCGCGGGGGCGTGCTGGCCCCTTCGAACAAACGCCACATGTCACTGGGCGCCACTGGCGCACGGGAAGCAGGTGCTTGCAGCAAGCGTTGCTTTGTAGCTCTCGCGAAGATCAACCTCAGGTGCTCTGCCGGTGTATGGAAGGACGAGAGGGTGATTGAAGGGGGGTGGTTGACTGGTGCGTCTTCGTCTGCTAAGTAAGAAACTAGCCTCTAATCTCACTCAGGACATCGTGTTTCAAAAATATAGTTAAAAAGTGGCATGTCGACAAATCCAGAACTGGGCGCCTGTCACCGGGCCACCGTGCGACGCAACGATCCGGCCTCGAAGGTCTGTATATAAACCTTCCACACGGGCAATCACCGTCACCATCCCTCATCCTCCCACATCTCGCCGATCCCGATGAACAACAACGGTAGTGGCGCTCAAGGCCCCGGAGGGGCACCTCCAGCGGCTGCCGCTGGCGTCACCGTCTCCGCTGAGATCCTCCTTTGTTAGGTTACCTGGCTACGGGCTTCGGGCGACGTTGCTGACGCCGCATTGTCTGTCAGAAGTTATCATGGGTATCAACGGGCGACTGGACTCCATCGCGGAGCAACTTGCCGCACAGAGCGCCGAGATCGCCGGCCAGTCGCGCGACATTGCCGCGCAGAGCGACGCCGTTGCGAGCACGCCCGGGATCCTGCAGGAGCTGCAGAAGCACGTCGACAATCTGGGTCACACGGTCCGGATGGAGTCGCGCGCTCTGCACGTCATCGTCGACACCGGCTTCACGAACACCATTGAGACCCTCCGCTGTGCGTCTGCTCTGTTTGCCGCGTTATAGCCGCCTATATCGACTGATCGCCCGGCATTCTATAGCTCAGCGCAAGACCATTCGCAACATTTTCCGCGAGCAGGCTCAGTTCGTTATCAACACCACTGTAAATCAAGAATATATTCGTAACGCGCGATATTCTCAAAAAAGTCCAGCTAACGACGCAACATGCAATGGTATGAATTTGCCCTTCGCCGCTCCACCACGTGCATGCGGCTCGAGACTGTTAGAAGGCCAGAATAGGCGATATGTCCAACCGAGAGGCCAAGGTAAACTCGCGGGCGCGTTGGGGATCGTTCTTGTTCGTCCCTTCGACATCTTCGATGAGCAAGTAGAATTCCGGGTCGATGTATCCGAGTTGGTTTAGATCTTCATGTGTGACGCCGCCTACAAAGGGATGTCAGAATGAGTTCGGGATCTAAGGATGTAAGGTGAAATACTGATGAGCTGGTCGTCGGTGTATACGACGTCGGTATGATTAGCTGCGACAAACCACCAGTCGCGCGGCATGCCTTTCAGTTGCGGCTTGAGCCTGAATGAGTAATTTTCGTAAGCTATTCGCCGCGCTCTGCATCGAAATTTGTGGCTCACATGTCAGCGTTCTGCACCTTCCCGTCTGCGATAGCATCGTATAGATGTCCGACCGACCAGAGAGGGATGGAGTCGATCTGTAAGAAATCATAAGCGCGAGACGATCCGCGCAAACCAACGCTGCTCACAGCTTTAGTCTCAACACCGTTGACCTCGATGATGATTACAGCGTCAATCACCGCGAGCCATCGCTCCCCAAAGTCATTCTTAACCCAGATGCTGGCCAAAATTTGAGCAAAGACCCTTGACCCGATGGACAGGAACTCACACGTCACCCTAACCCTAACCCTAACCTAACCCTAACCTAACATAACCCTAAGCCAAAACAATCCTTTGAGCGAAATAACCCAGCCTGATCAGGCTGCATGCTGTCAACCGGGCCTTGTAAGTCGTTGATTCTCGAACTTGGGACGATTGCGAAGACAGACAATCTCCCTTGCAATAAGAGGGCTGGGTCATGGCGTAGTGATACCAGACCGCGACCTGCAAGACGCGGCGCCATGTAAATCAGTGGGAGCAGACAGTGCAAGCCGAGCGGATAAGTTCAGAATGCTGGGGGGCAATGGTCAGAGCGAACTTGTTGGAAAGCCAGCGCGCGCCGCGGTGGTTGGCAAAGGTCACGTGATTGCTTACACCCGGAACGCCAGACGCCGAAATGAGCTTGACGCTGACCGCCGGCGCTGCGAGACTGGGGATTTGTAGTCTGGACATCGAGTGTCGGTGAACCCAAAGGGGATCGAGCGCAGTTCTCTTGAGATAGGCGCGACCTTAGGGATCACGGCACCGCAGCGTCGTCCCTGCTCGTGCTGGTTCGCAAAGCAGCTTGCAAGGCAAACTTGAGACTGTACAACGCTCTCTGTATTCACCGCAGACATCGTATGAAGCACGCACAAACTCATTCTCCTCCCTCCGCCTCCTCGATGCCAGAAAGTCGGTCCGCAAGTTTGCGAAAAGATTCCGCCACCAACTGCAGGAAGTCGCCCCTCCAAGTGAACGTCAGAAACTCGTCCAAGTTCGCTGGAACGCTGAGTTTCGCCTGGAGGAGACCGTAATCTTCGTCGTTTTGGCAAGTCGCTTGGCTCTTAACTTCGTCCCGAAAGCCTTTATACGGACGCTCTGCATCCCATCGAAACCCCTTGCGCAACGTTAAGTTCGTTCTCATTACCAAGCATCGCCCACATTACCTCGTCCATCGCCATTTGCGCAAGACCTTCCAAACTATGCTCGACGCGCCCTCCGTGAGCCAAGAAGAACCGCACCGCTTCGGACTTGCGATCATCGCCGTGGTGAATGTGATTGACGATCGCCTCCACCCTGGGTATCTTCTCGTGCCGGATGACAGTTGCGATAGCCTCAAACACGGCGGCATATCCGCTGATGAACGCTGCGCGAACCCCAGACTCGCGAATGGGCTCAGGAATGAACCTCATGAATGCCATATTGTCCACGTCTCTTGACTTATAGAGCTCGGAACTACGTGACACGCTTTCAGCGTACGTGGCGACCAGCTCTAGGCGAATTGTTCTAGCAGCGATCTCTGCGTTCACTAGTTTTGAAGAGTATTATGAGCGCCTGCCCTACGAACTGAAGGAGGATTTATTCACCACATATTTTATAACGCATGACAGGGGAGAACCATCCTTCGATGCATCGGCCACAGCTACAACCCCACGCAGCGACGTCTTCATTAGGAACAGGTCGCCCCATGGCGGTCAGGAGAGCGGCCTGAGTCTGTATGGCCGAAAGAGAATGTCCCGACCATGTCTCTGCCCCGGTGCTAAGCTTGGAGGCCTTCTCCAGCCGCATGGTGCGTCGAAGGCAGTCGAGAGGCAGACGTCCCTGCGCCGTGGCAGTGAAGACATTGCCTCGAGCGGCTGTTAGCAAGAGCGTCTCTACGACAGCTGCCTGAGATCGTGCGGCAGCGAGGTGTAATGGTGTCGCGTTCAAGACAGCGGGATCCGGAAAGCAGATGTGCGCCAGCTCGGTGGGAGAGCTGAGCCTGGAAAGAGCGCCAACAATCTGCTGTTCGGATATGTCCCGCGACGCTATCATCGAATGTATGGGGAGTGCCTGTTGATGCTCAGACCACCCAGGCTGCAACAATCTGCGCAGAAAATCCGTCAGGTCTGGAACTGGCACGACGGCCGTTTCTGGGTTAGAAAATTCGCCAGCGTCGCAGTGTGCCGGGAGCGACAGCGAGGGGTGACGGGAGTCTTGCAAAGCTCTAGCGAAGAAGGCGCTGCAGCCTACTCGCCTGAACCCAACGCCGTGTAAGATGCCGATGGGTGAGGTGCCTGGGGTTTCAAAGGCGCAGGACTGAGCTATCGCAAAAGCGCACGTAGCCGGATGATGACTCCCGGCCTCCCGAGTGTCGAGCGCAGCACGCAATATGCCTGGCTCAGAGAGAATCAATTGCAGCAGCGAGCTGGCAATTCCTTCACCGTGACGGGATTCCTCGACAGTAAGCTTAGTCAGAAGTATTATGTTCCCTTCACTAAGCTCATGGCCCCAGATACCAGTACCGCGCATATAGGGATTCGTGATGTATTCGTCGAGCAACCCGCCGCGCTCGTCAAAGAGGAGGGAGAGCTCAGAGGTCACCCGCGGCGGCTTGTTCATCTCCGCATACCATCGACGCGTTATGGACAGATAATTCCTAAGAACGACAAAACCCGCGGCGGAGGCGAGAGGCATTTGCTCGAGAATGTCGTGCGAAGGGCGAGCCGTCACCAAGAACTCAAATATCCCCATTGATTGAGGGTAGCGCCGCGAGTGATAGGTCAAGAGATAGGAGACGCCAGCTAAGGCGCGAGTCGTCTCTGTCTTCTGAGCCATCTTTGTTAAGGGACGCCGCGAGAAGAGTGGTCTAGGGGAGCAATTCAGAGAGAGCGGCGTGAGGGTTGGGGAGAGGGTCGATCGACTCCCAGAGCCGAGCGGCTGTCTACTTCAGGCGCCTGAAGCCGGGCCAATGCCGGCTATCGGCCGATGCACCTGTGGGCCCGGGCGTGCGAAGTCCCGCAGTGGGCTATGAGTACATTCTCCAAGCACCCCGATCTCCAAACCGGATCGCCATGTCCACCCAAAACACCCCCACCAATAGCGAGATCGCTGATCGAGGTGAGGCGCCGCCACAGTCTCCTCCCGATATCCCTCGCTCAATCGCGGCCCTTTCAGACGCAGCTCTGGTAGCTCTCGTGAATGCGGTGGAGGCCACCGCAAAGGAGGTCATTCAAATGAAGATCGCCCTCCAGCAGGACGTACGCATGCTTGACATCCGGATTCAGACGTTTGAGGCGCACCAAGAGGAGGTGAATCGGCAAGTCCGCAGCATGATTGTGGAGTTTGCAGCTCGTGCAAATCAAGTTATGCAGCTCGGTAGGCTCCTTGGTGCGCTCGCAGTTGTGATATACTTATTTGCTTCCCAGGTAGCACGGAGGAGGTTTGAAACCGAAGCGTGTCTGTAGATTTGCGCGATCGCGCCGTGTATTCCCTCGCAGCCACATTTCTCTGAGTCCCTTAAAGCTTGCCTTAAATCGAGACCGCCACTTCATGTTGCTGAAGGTCGGAAAGAGATATGCCAGTGAGATCACCGCTCTCTGGGCGTAATATCGATCTGTCTGCGTCAGAATCGGCGAGACCCCGGTGATCGGCTGGGTGGTGGACTCGGCGTTGCCGTCTCCCAAGCGGGGATTTTCGCGATTGACCTTCATTTGTCGCTGAATAGCGCGCAAGCCATGCCCGCGGTTTGTCGACTGAGAGTTCTGTCAGAACTCCGCCGCGGTGAAAGTGATGGATATCTCGACGGGAATTTCGCAGCTTGTCGGCGCGAACTAATGTCCGGCAGCAAAGCTTCTTCTCGAACGGCCTGGCCCCTTGCTGGTGATATTAAAAGACCCATCGATCACTGCGAGCCCGAGCGACTTCGGCGATACCTCGGGTCCACGTGGTGCGCGATGCAGTTAAATAAGAATCAGGCAATAGCCTTTGAACGTTTGCGATAACATCATGACTGCCGACGAGCCGCAGGCAAGTATCGAAAGGAGTAGGGTCCAGAGTAAGTGTCGAAGTGTTATGCGTGGGCTACTTCGACACACTGATCTAATGCTGTCAGCTAAGGCAGAAGAAAGCGACACAAATGGTGCACCCCTACCCGAAGAGGCAATGAGCGCGCGGAGTGGCTCTGCAGGTCTGCCACCGCAGCCAGAACTGTTAGCTCGCGCATCCCAAGGCGAGCTGCCATCCGTAGCTAAGGCTGTGGGCGAAGGGGCTTCGATCAATCCCCACCGCGATTACTACGCCGATCTTCGCGAGGTACTCAACGCGCCGTCCGAGGCCCGCATCGCCGCTCTCAAGCGTGAGCACTACGAGCGTTACGGTGAAGACCCCATTTGGACTGCCTTGCTGGAAGATGCCCAAGCATCTCTGCAGACAGGTATTCGCATCCGGGAGCAGCTCCTGAGCAATCTGCGGCAGCAGTTGTTGGAGGCGAATGAGATTTTGCTCGGAGGGGTGGCTGAAGAGTCTCAGAGGCAGGGTTAGAATATGGAGGCGCATGTCTCTCAGTACAGAATTTCGCATCTAAGATGTAAAAGATACGTTGGAAAAAGGGTCATTAACGACAGCAATATGCTGGCGAAGAGACAGCATCGAAGAGGGCTTCATCGGGTCTTGCAATCGCCGCAACCCCAGCGCGAGGCATTCGCCAACCTTTGTATCAGGTGTCAATCGCCTGGCATGAGCGCGCAAAACCGCCAGTCAACGCCGCAGTCGTCGATGTTTCTCGGCGCCCTCACCAATCACCGCTGACATGTGACACTTGAGCGCTGTTTCCTGATCTTGAAATCAGAGGTGTTCGTCACCTCGTTCCGGCTCGGCACCCGCCGTGCCAGTTCCTTATGGTGCAAATGTATCTGTTCAGCTCCCGTCGGTCGGCAATGACTTCAGCAATAAGGTTGATATAGGCATTGTGAAACTAATTGCTAAGGAGCATCGGTCAATCTCTGGTAGAAGCTTCAGGGGCAGGGAGACCGGTCGGAAGGTATCTATATGTTGAGCAAGCCGGCTTATGTGACTGACGCCAATGCCTACGGACAGAATTAGCAAACATCTTCGCACGGACAGAATGAGATGCTTGCCTGATCTGGCAAGCTGAACCGCAATATCGTATGCGCCGGCACGCCCCGCACCCAAGTCGAACGGACGTATGGCCAAACAAGCTGGAGATATACAAGCCTTGAACACAAGCACCGGGTAGCGGCGGCGTGACATCGAACGCGATGTTCAGAGTGTCGACTTTATTCTGGAGGTCGGAGTTTGTCTTCCAGTGAATTGCGGCGAGGATAAATGCCAATCGCTTGTCGGCCGCCCGCCCGTGTCGTCTGATCTCGAGAAAGAACTCCTCTCGTTCTTGTCCGCTCTCACTAAGCTAGTTAGCTGGGCTCCACTAACCTCAGGAGAACTCACATATGGCGATACTGTAGAGTAGACGTTATCCGTAAACAGAGATTGGAGACATTAACGACCCTGTCGTAGTCCATCCCGTGCCCCATTCCGGGATAACCGCGCTCTTGCATCCACAAAGAGTATAAGCGGTGAATGACAAGGTCGATAGGCCCTAGCTCTCCGGCGATATCTCTCCCTAACCGGAGATCTGTAGGCGCGTAATGCACTTCGCCCTCAGAGCGACCCGATGTCACGCTCCGGAACCAGAGATACCACCCAACGGCCTGGAAGCGCAGGCTGTGTAAGAAGTACACCAGCCAGATTGACTCCATAGCTCGAGCAAATGTCTGCGGAAATCTAATTAATTGCCGTGAACGGCCTCACATTCTGCGCTTGCTCACCATAAGATCCCGATTAGATGCAAATAGGGAGAGCCCAAAGATCGCGGGCCAGGACAGATCAAGCAGCATGCGGCGCGAAGGAAACTCATCGATCGCGGGGAGACCACCGGAAGCATCGATGCTGCCGATTATTTTGATGATGGGCGCAATATTGTCGCCTTTATAAAGACAGATAGCCTGTAGGTAGTCTTTGCAAACATCGGCGTTCGCCTGGTTCCACTGGAAAGGAGCGAGTTGCACAAGCACCATGGTGGGCGTAAGAGGGAAACAGGTGGATGTGGACGGAGGCTGAAGCCAACACGGCGCTGCTGATGGGTGATAACACGATGCACCGTTCACCAGACGGGTTCACCAGAGCTCGCACCAGACGCACCTGACGGGGTTCGATCCGCCCGAGCCCGGACCCCCGCCAGAAACAAGATCATCTCGCGAGAAGCCCGTCAACCCATCTTGCCTTCGAACAGTCACTACCTTGTCTCGAGCTCTCTGCTCTGCCCCTTACACTCTTGCTCGCTTTGTTTGTGTACCAAATAACGTGACATGGTTTATACGGCGTCCTCTTCGCATATCCTCAATGGCTCCACCTATATGATAAACTATCGTTTCGAACGCCACTCTGACGCACGCGGCATTTTTGATTTTTCCTACGACCTGCAGCTGCTGAATGCGCCGCCCACTTCTCCGCCGGCAGCCTTGGCCTCGGGTCACGTTATTCTTCGCGACCATCTAGGCGCTACACGTCAGTGGTATGCTGAAATGGACATTCCATCTCAAGAGACTGCTGAGCTTTCTTATCTCTTCGACGCTCGCGGGCGCCTCCTTCAGGAGTACATCTCTGGGCTTTATTTACGGGGATCTGGGGTCTGGGGTCATGAGCTTAGCAAAGGGACCATCTTGCTGGTGACAGAGCTCAGCGTCGGTGAATCTTACCGTGGACGCGGTATGGGGACTTGGCTGCTCAACCATGTCCTGTCGGAACCTTCTGTTGCCCGTCCACCGGCGACTCTGCGCAGGATGTTGCACTCCCCCCCTGCGAAATGCGATTTCGCCATAGCCTGGCCTGCCGGGATTGGAGGAGCCGGTATATCGCCCGAACAGCACCGCATGCAATCAGAGGTGGCCGTTCGCACCTTCCGCGGAGTCGGCTTCAGGCGTATCGGCCGCTCTCTTTTCTTTGCAAGATCTTTGAAGGATCCTTCACATCCGTCTCTTTCACTGTTAGCGCAGGACGACGCCAGCGAAGTATCGCAGCCCGAAGCGTCGCGCCCTCTCCCTGCATTGTCACCATTCCTGTGCACGCTCGTGCAATCGGACTGGTCTGAGATTGGGAGACGCCTGCCATTGCACTCTATGATAGTCTCGGACAACTGTAGTGACAGTCGCATTGTAGATGCCATATCCCGGCTTTCCACCCCTGCCGAGCTCGCGCATGTCTGCGTTGCCGATCCCACCGCCATGAACGCAACCCCGCTCCACCTCGCTGCAATGACAAGCAGAGCGTCGGTTGTACAGAAGTTACTGACAACGAGTGCTCGCGGCAATGTCTTCGCAGCGACAGCGCATGGACGCACGCCACTAGACTGTCTGCAGCGAAAAATGCGTGAGGAGAAGGCGTTTGCGTCGACTGTGAGGATGCAGAGCTGGTCTGGTCATTCTGCTGCCAGTATTGAGACGCAGGCCGCACTCATGGCCGTGATGGGGAGGCCGGCTCCTAGTGAGAACGCTGCAAGATGGGGTTGTACCTGTGGAGAATGTGTCTTGGGCTGGTTTTCCCCCGCCATGTTCTACCAAATACACAGTGAGCCTATCTTCGTATCCATCCCGATTTTCACGCCAACAACTATAGTCCAAGCCGAACTCGCCGCGGATATGCAGCGAGACTCTCTTGATTCTACGGAGGCCGACGAGACCCGGGGTCGTACACGGTTGTACAAGTCACCGACCTTGGACTACATTCATTTTATGAAGTACATACCCGCGTCTATTTGTGCGCAGGGCGTACACGCCACATTTATCAAAGGATACGGAGCGGTCCTACGTGCAATCGCATCTGTCACAAAGCAGAACCGGATACCTACAGTTCAACTTATCTCGAGCCAGGCCCTCCAGAGTAGGCACGACCCCTTCGCCGCACGCGCCGCGGATTTCTTTTTTCAAAAGGGCGGCACAGTTGAGCAAGCCTTGAATGGTGTTCTGCACGCTGCATCCGAACAGGTGCGTTCGATAACTACCTCTCCATAATGGATATGAATTTGAGCCGCTCGTAGGGACCCGGAGGTGACGGGCCGTTTCTTGAGATGGCGGACCTTGCAGATGACTTGTTGGCCTTACCGCAGTGCGAGAACGACGAAGATTATGCTCTTCTCCGCGCGAATCTGGGCATACCGGCTGACTTGCAGGGGCCTGTCAGCTCTGCATGGTCTGATGATTTTATGCACGCGGACGATTTCGATGATGCAATGGACACCAGCTCGTCGGGCGAGGACGAGAGCGAGGAAGGGGACTATTAGACGATGAGAGGAGTTGGAGAGTGCCATGCTGTCTCCGAAACTCGTGAATCTGGTGAGACAAGGAAGGTATGTGTCGTTTAAGTTATTCGTAGAGAGCGCTACTCACTTGGCTCAGCAGACTCACTTGGCTCAGTAGCATGGGCATCTGTCGGTTGCCAGCTGGTACAATAATATAATAAACTCGTTCAAAGTTGGATAACGAGGGCCCGTTATCCGTTCGAGCGTCGTTATCCGTGCTGCTGGTGCACCGGCGGTGATGCCCGATCGGCGCCGCGGCTTCGGTGCTCCTCGCGTGTCCGCCCGCGATTCGCGTGTTCGGCGCGTATCGAAATACACTCTCCGGCCAAGGAGGACTCGCTCGATGAAAAGCTGAAGATACGAGGGCGCGAAGCACCACGCGCCCGCGCCGGGGCGCTGAGAGCCAAGCCGAGCAAGGCTCGGGGTGTCGATGAACTCCCGTCACGGTGCGGCGCGAAGCGCCCCGACGAGTCGGTCTGCTGCGCTCGTAGGCTGATTATATCGAAGAATGTGACGTTAGAAGGAGTATATGCTACACATATTTCTACTGCATAAATCAACAACAGTATGCAAAGTCGGTCGAAAGAACGCGCAAATCGCAGGCGGTCACGCAAGGAGTACCGACGCCGCGGGGCTGATCGGACATCACCGCCGGTGCACCAGCAGCACGGATAACGACGCGGGTCATCGACGGCTCTTATCGAGGGGATAGCGGCCCCTCGCTATCCAACTTTGAAGGAGACTGCTAATTTGACCTTGACACTGGAGAGCATATTCCCAACGCGAATTTGGGCCTCTTCGCGAACAGCTTTGCGTGGCTTTGCGCATATGGTTTTCTTGACGAAAGACGAAGGGGGCGGCGCAGGGCAGATCAAGCGAGACGACCCCGGCAGGACGCGGCAATCAGCAGGTCGCCTGATGACCATCAATCGAAGAGTTCACACTCGCGCAGGCTCGATTTCGGCGTTGGGAATCCTCTCTACTCACCTCCGATGTCTGCAATTGGCCAACCCCTTCTAAGATTCGACAAGTTGCCAGCTGAGCTGATCTCGTCGATCATATATCTTGCTCAGATCTCTTGGCATAACGAGCACTTCGCGCCGCAAGCGCCGAATACCGAGGTCAACCGTTACGAGGCCGCACCCTCTGGGTCTGCAACATCGCCTGTACTCGCATGCTGCAATGGTGCACGATGCGATTTCACTCGGCCTATCTGCATATGCTCAGACTCTGGGAAAGTCCTCCCTCCTCACCTTCCTTCTCCAGCCCACAGCGTTTCGCTCGTCTCGAAGAGATTACGCGGACTGCTTCTTGCTAATTCTGACATATGGCAACTGGACAACACCCTGTACCCAGCAATAGCGCGTCTTTCTGGAGAACACCGTACTACCACCTCTCGTGGCCGGACTATCATCAAGTACGGATCGCGCAACCTCATAGCGTTGGACGTCTGCGCTTGTCTTCTCCGCGGCCTTCACCTCTTCTACTCCAGTCTCGAGAGCGTCAAGCTTAGGCTGCCGTGGGCCGGCGACCAAAGCCTGGGGTCCGAGCTACGAAAATTTCTTCGCGACATCAGGGGTCGCGAGAACAGTCCTCTGCGTAGCTTCGATCTCGAGGCTCTAGACGCAGATCCGTTTCACGTTCGGGATGGTGTGCGTCGGCGTATGACGGCTTGGGAGAGCGTAAACCTGCGTAGAAGCTGGTTTTATCGGGGCAATGTGTACTTCTACTCGAAGACATTGATATCCCTTTGCCTCCGTCAAGGTCCTGGGACCTCCATGGTTTTTGGATCGTCGCTATCCATTGGTCTCTCAGCGTGCGCCGAGACGCTCGAGTATCTGACAATTGACATCCCCGTCGGCTTCGTTGCTGATATCGAAGGCGCCATCACATTTCTTCGACTTCGCTACTTTCGGCTTTGCACGGATCCCGTGTTTGGAGCTGTCCTGCTTGGTAGGCTCGTTCTTCCCTACGCACTCGACTTGCATCTCGAGCAGGTCGAGTCCTGGGGAGAATGCTTTACCGCAAAGCACCCGGGAATATACGAGGTGCCCTTCTGGCCTTCGGAGTACGCCCCAGACCAGCGCTGCTGGTGGAGTAGGGGTGCCTGGGAGTGCGAGGCAGGAGGCGAGGAGGCAGGAGAAGCACGGCATTCGCCGGCTTAGTCAGCGGTTCGGCTCGGTTAGCACGTCGCATGTAGTAGAGTAGCTCTCATCCTACCACCACCGAGGCAAGCATCGCGCCTTCGGTCTGCTAGTCCTAGCCGCCCGGCCCTCTCCACTGGATGCGACCGCCTACATTCGCTCAAGATCTGGCACAACCCCATCGCACCCATATGATACACTGCTCCAACCCCGCAGATCACGCGGAGAGCGCCAGTGACCAAGCTGAACCGTTATGGCGTCGCTCAACAGCGGTGATAGGGTTGGACGTGCGCGTCAATCCAACCACCGGGCCCTTCGAGCCCGCTGCGGCGCGATTCCCCGCGTCTGTCGGCGTCGCTTTGGCGGGGTCAGTGGATGAACTTAGGCCGGTGTTGCAGGACCGGTGGGTCGCAATGCCCAAGGCAGCTTGGAGCTCGACGAGAAGCTCGCCGCGCGGCGATCCCTCACTTTCAGAGACAACCAAGTCGCCTTGCAAAACCGGCCACCGGGCTTCAATACCCAGTATCCCAAGGCTTTGTACGACACTATTCAATATGTTCTGGGCCTACTGCCCGACGCATGGGCTTCCGCGTCCGAGCGCCGAGTGCAGGAGTTTGTCTTTGCCAAGGACACCTGGCTGCCTGATCGCTCTCTAGGGTACCAGCACATCCTGGGGCGATTCACCGCCCTCAAGGCGCTGCATTTCGACAGCCCTTTGCTCAGGGGCAGCGTCCAGTTCAAGCAGAACATGGAGGGTTGCATCGCGTTCGAGCATCTGCACGCCCTTGCGTTGGCCCTCAATGCTCCAGGCACCGGCGGTGTTTATCCTTGCCCGGCACTGGAAGTCATTCATCTGCGTGCGCCGGTGGACAGGTTACTGAGCTCGGTGCCGCGAGAGAATTGGGATGACATGCTCAATTCACCAGATCGCCTGGCTTTCGGCGCACAGAGAATTCGGTTGGCCTCATGCCGTGACTGAAGGTCGCAGGCTTTCCACTTGAGCGACCTGTATGTATACTTACGTGTAGGAACGGAGGTTATTCATTCACACATTTTATCCGGAAGGAAGCTTGTTTCCCCAGTCAATCGTCTCGGTGCTTGCTGGCAATGAGGGCGAGCTTGATACCCAGTATAGCTTGTGAACCTTTGATATCTCCTTCTGCAGTTGGGAATTGGCAGGGCGCCACGTTCATACAGAGCTCAGGAAGGCGCACTCCAAAGCTACGTCGTCATATGACCGGCGCGGGAAAGGCTCTCTCGTGCAGTACGGCGGTGTCAAGCACCCTTTTCGCTCATTCTTCGGCGACGTATGGTTCTAATGGGAGTGCTAGACACGATGCACTGAAAACTGGGACGCCTGTGCACTGCGGGATAGCTTGGTAGGCTGTCTTGCCGTCACAGATGTGCTGAGAGAACGTCACGTGCCAGACATATGATGACGATGGCCTGAATGCGCCCTTCCTTAGCGGAGGGGTCGATTTTGTACCCAGCCTATGCGGTACGTGGGAAACCTCACTGATTCACCGGATCAACTTCGTGATGATCGATGAGAAATCCGCTGCAGCTTGAACCTTTCCGTCGTCTCCCATGTCTGATCTTACCCCGGCCGTTCTGCGATTTGACAAGCTGCCAGCCGAGCTGATTTCATCTATCATATACTATGCTCAGATCGCGTGGTGGAACGAGCACTTCGCAGCACAAGCGCCGTATGCCGGGGTGAAGCGATATCAGGTATCGGAACCTACTTCCGCTTCCGCTTCCGCCCCGCCCTCTATCTCGCCATGCTGCAACGGTATGCGGTGGGATTCCAGCCGGCCAATCTGCATACGCTCAGACACTGGCAAAGCCCTCCCCGGTCACCTTCCTTCTCCTGCCCATAGCGCATCGCTGGTCTTGAGAAGGCTACGCGACGTGCTTCTCGAGGAGAATTCTCACATCTGGCAGCTGGACAACACCTTATACCCAGTGATTGCGCCTCTATCTGGCGAACACCGCACCACCTCGCGCGGTCGCGAGGTCATACAATACGGCGCTCGTAGCTTCATAGCTTTGGACGTCTGCACTTGCGTCCTGGCCGGCATATCGCCCTTCTACACAAGTCTGGAAAGCGTCAAGCTGAGACTACCGTGGCTCGGCGATGGAAGCCTGCAATCAGAGCTGCGGCAGTTTCTGCGCGACGTCAGGGGGCGTGCCGACAGCCCTCTGCGTTACTTTGACTTGGAGGCTCTCATCGAGAACGTGTTTCGGGTAGCCGCGAGAGGACATTGGTGTATGACGGCCATTGAGAGCCAGAACTTACGCTTCAGTCGCTTTTCAGGCGGAAATATCTTCTACTACTCGAGGACTCTCCAGTCGCTGTATCTCCATCAAGGTCCCAACTCCAACGTCGTTTTTTTTGGGTCGTCTTTATCGATCGCCCTCTCAGCGTGCTCCGCCACCATTGATGTCAGCAACGGCTAGGCGGCCGCTTACTAACACAGACAAGGGGCGAGCGTAT